TTTTCAGTGACACTTTTCAACAGAAAGACTTTGCAGGTGCTGCCAGTTACAAAGGCTTTTCACGAGCTCCTTTTAACACATTTTACCAAAAATTCCTCTTTTGGTGCCTTCCATGTGTGTGAGCACAGAGCAGAGCTTAGGGGCTTGAAATTTCAGCTTTGTCTTTCTCTTATTTTTCCCTTTAAATGTGAACTTCTTACATTTCTGGCGCTCATTTGTGACATAATTAAAACACCTCTCTGGTGTGCATTCTCGGGATTGTACCGCATGAAGGACACAGAGCCACCGCCTGTGCCCAGCTGGCAGGGAGCCGCAGGGATCACGGAGCCCAGCTCCCAGCCCTGCACAGAGCATCCCCCAAAATCCCACCCTGGGGCTGGGGGAGCTGGGCCAACACTGCTGGAATTGGGCTCAGCCGTCCCAGGCGTCTGCAGCATCGCCAGGCTGGACTCACAAAGGTGCTTTTGGGTTTTTCCAGGCTGGAAATGAGAGCTGGGATGACCCAGCTGTCCCGACATCACTGCAAGTGTTGAGTCCACTCGCTGCTGAAATGCGTTAAAAATCACAGCTGAATGCTAAGGCGTATAAAAAATCCCTTTATAAAGGTATTTCTGCAAAACGCATTTCCAAAATGCACGGGAAAAACAGTTTTCTACCACTCTGGTGTTTTATAATGTGCATTATCCCATATGACCTAAACATGGTGATGTACAGTATACAACAGCTATAATATCAATAGAATACCAAATCAATATAATATCGACAGAGGGACAGCCAAGGGAGGTTTAGCAAAGGTCAAGCAGCTCTGAAGGGAGTGGAATTCCTTCCCTCCAATGCCATCTGATTGTACATAAAGGGGGGCTCCAGCATCTCTGCAAAACAAGTTTAATTTTGGTCTCTGTAACCATCAAGAGAACAAAAAAAGAGAAAAAGCCCTTTTGTCCCTGGGGTTTGGAGGATGAGTGTTGTGTTAAAATGGAGATATTCATTCCCATCAGAGAGGAAATGCCACTGGAATCAGCGCAATAAAGTGAAATGTCAAATAAGTCAGCAGATTAATGAGGGGAAAAGTCAAAATAGAGTGGCAAAATCCCAGAATCACCAATGCTGGAAAAGGCCTCCCAGACCACTGAGTGCAACCTGTGCCCACCTTGTCCCCAGCCCAGGGCTCTGAGTGTCACCTCCAGTCCTTCCCTGTCACCTCCACGGGTGAGGACTCCACCACCTCCCTGGGCAGCTCCTTCCCGTGCCTGGCCACCCTGTCCAGGAAGAAATTCCTGCTGAGTTTATTCCATATATTTATTGTCAGCACCTGCCCCTGGCCGAGCACAGAGCCCCCCTGGCAGCTCTACACAAACCCAGCCCCATCCACTCCCAAAAATCCCAGTTTAAACCATTTATCACTATTTAACCACGGTGAGAGCAGAGGAGTAATTCCTTGTTTCCCATGAAATATCCCTTAGGAAACAGGTACAACCTTCCCCTGGAGCTGTCACCCCCTGAACCTACCTGTGTCCCACAATGGCCGAGGGACCTCGCCCAAGCCTCCTCCTCCTCCTCCTCTGCCCCCTTCATGGCATTTTTAGCCATTTCACAGCACTTTTAGGCATTTTTCCCTTAATTTTCCAAGAAATCATTAGCTGCTTTTATCCTATTTTCCCAGAAAAATGGGATTTTGGAGCCAGATCGGATGGTGACTGAGGTGAGGGTCTCCATCCGATTCTGCTCAAGACCTTCAGTGTATAAAAACTTCTCTATCCATTTATAAATAAAGTTTCTATATCCAGTTTATAAAACTTCCAATTAAAACTATAAAATTATCCAGTTGCATTAAAAAGCAATTATTTTTACATTAAAACCACCATTTTACCTACTTTTTTTTTTTTACCTTTTAATGCATCAACTACTCAGGAAGCAATGCAAAACCAAAGTAAGAGTTTCTCTTTTTATTTTTTTTTATTAAGACAATCCCACAGCTGGAAAATGAAACATCCTAGATTACATCAGTGACTTCAAAAAAACTCTAGAAAAAAATCTTTACAAATTTACATTTGTACAATACAAAAAACTAACAGCTCATTGCATATAAATATTACATTTGGTCTGCCAACATGTGGCATCAAAATCCCTGAAGTACTCATTAAAGGGACCTGAGATAGCGGATGTGAAGATATGGGCATAAATATCACCTGAAAAAAAATAATATAGAAAGTAGACATAATTCTAATAGTTTTGTGCATTTTTGGAGTATTTTAAATCCAGAACATGACCTGGAGAGCCTAAATAATGTGATTTTTGCTCTGACATCAAGTGGTATTTCTACATGAAATCTGCTCTAATGACTCATGGAGGAATGAAGAGCCTGAATTAGTATTTCTGCAGAAAAATAATCCTCAGACACTGAGTTCTGAACACACCCGAGCAGCCACCACTCTCTGAGGAAGAATTTTAGGAAGAGAAACGGCGGATTTGGATTTTACCTGCGAATATTCCCCCAAACAGCTCCTCACACACCCAAAACCCAGGAAGATCCGCAGTGCTTGCCAGTGAAAACCCCCAAACCGAGGAACTGCTCCAAATTTCCCACTGGTGGAATTAATTCCCAACTATTTACACATTTGCCAGCTCCCCAGCGTGGCTGCAGTTACTACCAGGAGTAGTAACTCCAAGTGCTTGGTTTGCCTTGGAAGTCTCACAGACTCGGATCAGGTACCCACATCCACACACAAAAATGTATTTCAGCACCATTTTTAGAACACTAGAGTTAAGGCTGTGACAGCAATTCCCACTGGAAATCTAAATTTTTCAGGGATTCATAGCACAGTTGTGTGAGCTTGCTGTGGGCTGAACACGACGTAGTAAAAATATACAAGCTTCCAATAGGTCTTTGCATTTCTAAGACTAAAAAAAAGACAAGTTTTTAGACTAAATTTTGCAGGCTGTTACTTACTGTACATAAAGGAGTTTTTTTACCATGTGTAAACCTTGGATATATTGAAGGGTTGAAAAGTCTCTGTCGCTCATGCGCAGGGATTTGCTATAATACACATTGTAAGAACACAACAACAGCTCCCTACCTATTAAATATAGAGTTAGCCTTGGAGGGTTAACTGCTCCTTCAGGAAATAAACAGTATTTTATAAAACTCTGCAGGATGTTTTTTAAATAAAAAGATACAATTAAGACATGTAAACACACAAAAGACATTTTTAACCCATGAAATCCGTGACAGGATGCTCCAGATATCAAGACACAACATCCTCAAACCTACAGCTGTTCACTTTTCCCTGGTGTTCACCACTCAAAGATGGAATGAATCAAGTTTTTATCAAAAATTAGGGATTTACACTGATTTTCTCAAGTTAATATTCTGTGATTTGGAGCACAGAGACATTCCCGATAGATCCAAATGCTTTGCAAGGTTCATCTTGTTTTTGGGAGTCAAGAGAGCCTCCAAATATTTACAATTTTAAATCAATTAAAACCTCTCTGCCACACCCCTGGTGCCAGCTCTTTTTCATGCTCTCTGAACTACTCAGTCCTTCTGCTTCCCCACAGAAGGAGCAGCTGAGATGGGCATTGAGGAAAACATTCCAGGAAAATTAAACTGTGCAAACCTAACACAGAATTTGAAGCATCCAAAAATCTTCCAAGAATTATTTCTCCACAATTCTTTTCAGCTTTAGTCTGCAGGGTGGGGGTGGTTGGGATTAGGGGGTGGCCTCTGCTTGGCTGATGGAGAAAGGAGTGATGGAAAGAGGGAGGAGGGATAAAACTGCCCAAATCCATCCAAATTCAAGCACCAACAGAAAGGTTTGGATTAAACCTAACAGCCTGGCAGGCCAGTTGAAATAAAATTCATCACAATATCCAAAGTTTCCAGGAGAATAAATAAATAGCCTATAAAAGGAAACTACAGGACAGAGGTGGGGCATGGCAAGAGGAAAATAAACTGATGGGGAAGATAAAAAGCACGTAAAGTTTGAGCTGAAAAACTGAATTATTAAGGTTGGAAAAGGCTCCAAGATCATCAAATCCAACCTTCAACCCCATCACATCAGGGCCACTGAACCACCAAGGGCCACAGGTGCTCAGCTCTTGGATGGTGACTCTGCCACCTCCCTGGGCAGCCTCTTCCAAAGCCTGACCACTCTTTCCATGAAAAAAAATTCCCTAACATCCAAGAAAACAGCACCTGACTGCTGCCAAACAAGCTTTGCTATCCATGCTCGGTCTGGAGAGAAAGGGGACTGGAACAGGGAGATTTTGGATGGTTTAAATCACTTTAAATCTTGCTTCTGCTGCACCTGGTAGGCTCATCCTAAGTTGACCACACCCAAAAGTGGCTCCTGATAGGATTTGGGATTTGAGAGCATCCAAGCTCCTACAAAATGTAATTATTCCACAGAACTATGAGGAATGAAGTGCCCAACTCAAGAGAAAGAATCCAGATACAAATCCAAGCAAAAAGAACAGCTCTAAACCCAAGTTATTTGTCATGCTTATAAAAGGTTCTCATGCACAAAAAAAAAAAAAAAAAAGAAAAAAAATATTTTTTTTTCAATTTTTACAGTAAATTCTGCTGTCCCAGCACCCCCTGCTCTAGCTCATACTCATGGGACACAGTAATACTTACGCCACAGCAAAGTGATGCTTCACTGGTATCTTCACAGTACAGAGAAAAGATACAGTTAAGAACATATTTAATCTTACTCTAATTGCTGCTAAAATACACCAACTTATAAAATGATTTCTCTGGAATCCCTGTGGTTTCTCTCTCCCCATCCCCCACACAAAATAAATAAGGAATAAGTGGATTTTCGGCCAGTCAGAAATAGAGGAAAAAAGCATTTCTTTTGCATTTCAAGCTTTTCAGGCTTTAGGATAGAACCCATAGTGTTTACATTAGCTCACAGGACTGATCTAAGGGATATGATTCCAACTATGGACTGATGCATACATGCTATTCCTGGTTACCATATGTAAAAAAGACCAATCAGTCAAACAAATAATACATTTCTTATAAATATAAATGCGTGTATATATACAGATATATGAGAGAGATGATAGGACAGGTGTTTATACTTTAAAGCCCAACACAGAACTAGGAGAGCCTCTGCACTTGGTTTTTTTCCCCACCCCCCCATCAAAAACCAAATCAAATTTTGCAATGGATTACAGCTGATTCCAAACAGTCCTTACAAAATTAAAAGTCTGGGTTTTGTACTGTACCATAAACTCATATTAATGAGCAATTTAGGATATACTCTCCTCCATCACAAAACTAAACCTCTGCTTCTTTTGTTTTCAAGTCATTTTTGCATCTAACTAGGATTTTTTTTTTTTTTGGAAAGCGAGATAAAATAGCTAGTGCTTAATATAGAAAGTCAAAAATTAAATTCCTTCTGCATCTGAGAATATACATGGGTCACTCTTTGCTGCCTGAGGTTTTCCAGAATTATTGACCAAGCTGTGCACAGAAGAACTTCAGGATATTGGATGAAAGCTTAAAAAAAAACCTCTAAAAACCTTGAAAAACTCCACTGGAACTTTGTAGTCTGTTCTGACTTGTTCTCTCTGTAACCTGTAACTGTCGGACAAGGGGAGGAAATTGGAATCCCACATCTGCTCCAGGCAGAGCCCAGGAAGGAAGGAGGAGGCTGCTCACCTCCACGCCACCACGAGGAGCCAGGGCAGGGATCTCCTCACCAACTGCACTACCACTGCCAGAGGGTTTCAGGTCAGCATTTCCCAGGACAACAAGAGCACAGTGCAACAGGAATTCTCTTCTGGAAGCTTGAGACACAAGAGTCAGGCTGGGGGGGCGACAGCTCCCTCAGCACCTCCGAGGGGCCAGCGGGCCCAAAGCACATTTCCATGGGGCACAGGGGGCCAAGCAGCCCCCCTGCACCACCAAATCCCCACCTACCCAAACATCTCTGAGAACCACTGCATTTGCTTTCATGGTGGCAACACATGGAAGATACAGCTACTCACAACTTCCACCCCTCTATGCTCCTTCTCGCCTCTTCTTCACCATGCTCTGAATAACAGCATCTATTTTCTTTTCAGTTTCCAGTAGTTGTAAATAAGAGGTAGCTGAGCTACTATTAAAAATCATGCTTTGAAGAGGAGGAACCTTTCAAATGTTGAAGTCGCCCCTTTAGCTGCACAATCTCGATTAATACTATAAAAATATGAGAGGACAAAAAGAAAATAGATGCAAGTAACTTTTGCATTTGGCACCTTTTGTCTAGATATTCATACTTCTCAAGTATTCTCTTTTTAATAAAGTTAATGCACACATAGGACACACCACATCAAAGGTTTGCTACATATTTACAAGGCACCAACCCTTTGTCACTGTTTTTACACGGATAAAGAACCGATAGAAAGCACGTCAGGACCCTCAAAACTGTAGTATGGACATACTTCAGTTCAGCACAATTCCATCAACGTTTGGCCTGGGAAGATTAAAATAATCCAGATCCTTCTTACAATATAGAAACTGTAAACATTTTATAGCTGCCTTTAGGATTGGTGTATTGTGCAAAAGTTATAATTATTACTGTGTCTAAGGATATATGGCAGAAACCACATAAAAACTCTGTAAGAAGGTGCTATTTCTATAATACAAAAACAAAACGAGGGAGAGAAGTCATAAGCGTGACTCAAAAATGTCATGTTCTTACTGCGAAGCTGGGAGCCTCTGTAATGTGATGAACTCGTAGTGTGTGGGGAAGAATTTCTGTAATTTAAGGCCTAATGACTAAGGCTTGTTTTGACCAATGAAGTGTGGAGATCTGAAGCTTTAAAACAAACACAAACTGACAGGATGGAAAAGCACCACTGTGAAACGTGAGTGGAGTCCCCGCACAACTTGCTTGGTAGAATTTCTGGTAAAATCCCTGCAGTAGAAGGCCATTGAAGTTCTTTTAAAATTGTTCCAAAGTTTTCCATCTGTCAATAATTCCATCCCATGAGATGGCTGACCCTGGCTTTTTCTGTCATTTTCCGCACCCTGCCTGACCTGGAAGTACCAAGGTTCAAAGGATCCTCGGTGTGCACAAAATTGTCATTGTCGGAGTCGTCGTTGTACAGGACAGTCCTCCTGCCCTCGTTCCTGGTTTTGATCCGAGGGGGTCGGCTGAATCTCCCTCCAAACACGTTCTCCCCAAACTGTCCCCCAAAGAGGTTTTCAAACTCGTCGTCGGCGAGCCGGGCGCGTTTTGCTCTGGTGGCTCCTCGCGAGGCCCCTCGGCCTCCGCGGCCTCTCCTTCCTCCCCGGCCGCCTCCTCTTCCTCTGCCGCAGCCTCTTCCACCTCTGCCCCCTCTTCCCCCTCTGCTCCACCTGCCCCACCTGCCCCATCTGCCCCTCCTGCCCGTCCCCCGGCCCTGCCAATTCCGCTTGCCCCCGGTGAGTTTCCGTTTGATTTTCCGTTTGGGTTTTTTGGATTGCACAACTTTGCTGTAGTCGTGGTCGCCGTCGATGTAATCCTGGTCTGTTCTGGAGGTCGATTCCGAGTCAGAATCGGAGCCGCTTCTGCTTTCAGAGCTGGAGCTGGATCCTGATTCCCCACTTTCTGATGAAGACAAACCAGATTTTTCCTTTAATTCTCTCTTCTTCTTTTCCTCCTCCTCCTCCTCCTCTGCCTCCTCCAGGTGCTCATCCTCTTCTGAGGCGCTCAGCAGCTTCCTCTTGACTCCTGCCCGGGGTTCTCTGCCATCCCCATTGGTGAGTGGCCCATCAGGAGAGTGATCTAAGCAAACACAAAATAACCCCATCAGCACACAAAAAGGACACAAAAAGTGGGATTTGCCTCAGCTGCCTTTGGGGTTCTCCTCATCTGCCTCTGAGGTACGCTCAAGGATCATCCACTGGGAATTACTCACCCTTTATGTGCTGTGGACACAAGTAGGTGTTCTAAGAGGAAAACCTACCAAAGTTTTTATCTGGAAGCAACAAATGCAAACTCTCCTGAGCAAGAGTTCAGTGAAGATCCAGGCAACAAAAGGAGCCTGGAGTGACCAGGTTGGACACAAACATCTACAACTCAGTCAGCTGAATCTTACCTGGGGTGCCAAGGCAGGAAAACTCTTAAAATCCATTTCAAAACTATATATACACAAAAATAACATTCTGCAAGCAGCATTTATTCCCTATCAAATGCTTGTTCTCAAAAGGCTAAGTGCAGGGAATATTAATGGAAAGCATAACTCAAGAGAGTCAATGACCCAAGAAAGCTCACTGGGATTGCTGAACACCTTAAATGAAATGTCAATAAAGTATCTTGCTGGCTCAGGACCCAAAATCCTCCAAGTTTTGAGGGTTATGAATCTGACAATGAAGATTAAATATCTTCTTTAAGAAGCATCCTGCAGCATCCAGCACTGCTACAGCACAGGAGTGTGGACTTGGGAAAGGCTCCAGGGTTCAGGAAATGCCCATGCACTGCCCACCTTGGTGGAAACTCTGAGTAACTCATCCCCAAGATCACCACACCTGAACTGTTTCCATTCTAATCACAACTACTTTGTTTTGCATGTGAGAAAAATATTTAAATATTTTTGTAAATTTTTTTCATCTTTGGTTTCAGCTTGATTAATAAAAGCCAAAGGTTTTGGGGTGGAGATTATCTTTGTTTGCTTTCTGTAATTCCTGAAGGAACTGTAGGAGTTTAAGAGCAATCAAGTTTTCCATCTTGAAAAGATTTTAAAGGACTTCACTAAATTGCACATGGAATCATCTGCATTCCACACCTCAGACAAGACACCACAGAGTAAAGGAGCAAAGTAAATTCAATTTTTTGGTATGGTTTAGGAATATATACAATGCAACACTGAGGCAATAACATCGGAGAGAAGCAAAATCTTTCATCTCTAGTGAAACCAGTCAGTCAAAGCACAGAATTATTATTTCTCACCTTGTTTCACTGGTGTAGATTTGCTCCTGACTGGTCTGCTTTTCCCTGGGTCTATGGCATTTCCACTCCGGCTCTGTGCATTTGAGCCTGATGAAGATGGTTGACCCTCCAGCTCTTCACCAGTGGCTGAACCCAGAGGTTCTTCTGCTGTATCTGAAACTTCAGACAGGACAGCACAAGGGGACAGGGTGATTTTTATGCTCTGTTTACAGGGCTGTGTCTGGGGTGGCTCTGTACGCCCTGAGTCAACAGCCCAAGCCAGGGTAATCTCACCAAGCTGCTCTGCAGCCAGGGAAAGACAGATTCCTCCTGAGTGTAACCCCAAGTAGGATTATTTAATTAATTATCCTTCACTGCTGTAGGAGAGAGGCCCATAGACAAGAAGTCTGGGTTTTTGTCCCTGGAATAATTCTTACCACAACCAGACCCAGGTTCCCAATTCCCTGATCCTTCCCCAGAACTTCCCAACAACCAAACTCAGCTAAAACAACCTACAGACAACAAATTTCAGGACCTTGCTCCTTTAACAGGCAGGTTTTGCACGTGTCTCATGAGGACAAGACTCAACCTGCACAGACAAGTTGCTGTAAGAGAAAGGCTGGGTTTCTCCTCACCATGAGATGAGACTGAAGAGTTTGTCCTGGTCAGGGGCAGTGAGGTATTTTGGTTGGGTTTAGGTTGAATCTTCACTTGCTTCTGTTTCCCTTTTGGGCTGCAAACACAGAATACCCCAAAGAGAGAAATCTGTTATCACCACAGACTCAAATACAAAACTGATTTCTCCTGCAAAGTGATCTCTTCTTCCCAGATAATACTAAAAATAGTTACACCATGGTGCTGTTTGCTAAAGGTATAGGAGATTGCAGGGACAAGGTTTTATCTCCCCTTTTAAAACCAACAGTCTGTTTACTTAGATAATGTATCAGATGAAGGTAAGGAAGTGTTGCACAACACGTTTTTCAACAGTTAAAAGGCAAAGAGACAGCTGATCTTTCATTTCCTTTAGAGGGAACACTTTCAACCACATCATCTTTCACTTACCAGAATTAGAAACTACAAACTGAGCACGATTTTATCTCCCAAAAGAGCAAGTTCATCAGGAAATGAGCAGCACTGCTGCTGGTTATTCCCAAAAGCACATCTGCCCCTGTGCTCTGGAATGGCACTGCCAGCCAGGCTCAGCACCCCTGCTTTACCTGGATGCTCTGCTGGTTGAGGGGGAGCTGCTGCTGCTCCTCAGCCGCTTTCGGTACCGAGGCCTTTTCCTCTTCTGACATTGCATTGCTGACTTGTACTCAGAGATGATGTTTTTCATGTGATTCTCAAATAAGGCAGAGAGTCGAAGGGTCATGCTGTAAATCTGCAGTGAGGGAAAATGGTCAGGTTTATTAGAGTTGAATAACTTGAAGATCAACCAAAAAAACCATCAGAGAGATGTCCAGACTTTGTAGCACAAAGCAAAAATTCACAGTGATGTTCCACTATGAGGTTCTTTACAGATTATTTTCTTCCATGGGCCATGTGTATTATTGAAACAGAAAGTGTTTTCTTAAAAAGATTTAGTAATGATACAAAATATTTCCAGAGCTGAAGGAAAATGGATTTCTGGATTATTGGAATACAGTCCCCTTTGTCAATCCCCACAAAGCATGGAAGCAGGCCTTAAGATAACTTGAATATCAAGGAGAAAACAATTGGACTTCAGATCTCCTCACCTTTGTTTTTGCACTACATGCCTGGTGAACTGTCCTTACACCACCCTTACAGACCTACAGAGAAGCAATCCAAAATGTCCTCAGTCCTAATTTCTGTAAACCAGATGTCAAAATCTTTAAACCACTTTCCTGTCCTCTTTCTAGGCCTTGCTATGTGCAGTTATCAAGCTGATATCCTTGTTTACAGGGATAAATTATTGAAAAAAATAAAAGCAACTGGTGACCAGTTTTCTGCAAGGAACGGCTGCAACAGTGACCATCATCCCAGATGAAAATGGATGTTAGATATCAACTGGGAGAGCAGAACAAAGCAAGTATATAACCACAGAATTGGTGTATCTTGGTTATTTTTATTACACTAAGCAGTGGTTTGCTCTTCAGACCTTATTTTCATCTGTTTTGTTCATCTGTTTTGTTAAAAAAAAACAGGCATTAAAATGTATTACTTACACGAGACTTTTTATTAGGAGTGTAAGCTTTAGAATTGCAGAATATTAAACGAATATCTTTGTAGAATTCCAAGGGACTGGTGTAGTTTCCTGCTTCCAAGGTTTCTTTCACAGTGCTGAAGTCCATGGGAGTGTCTACAATATCTCGATAATCCTAAGAGAACACACAAGAGAAAAACCAAAGCTCTCAAATCCTCCAGCAGTAACATCACCTCAGTGTTCATCCAGTGGCTCAAGTCATTAGTTCACTTTCAGAGTTGTTGCAGACAATTCTCTGAAAACATCTGCTCATAAAGGGAGAGGACAGAGCCATGCCCAGCATGGATGTTCTGCCAAAGGAGGAACAATTCTGGGTGTGGAAGCTGCACTTACAGGGTAAGAGAAAAGATCAACAGGCTGCCTGAAAGGCTCTGAGTCCTCTCGCTCATAAATCAGGTTTAAGAGCTGCTGGCACTGCTCCTTCCAAGCATCAGCACTGGCTTTCATGGGCTGCCTCTTCACCCTTCGTCTCACCTGCAGAGAAACAGGTATTGCAGATGGTATCAGAGTATTCACATTGCTCCCTTGAACTGCAATTAAAGCATTACCCAATTAAAAACAGAAATCCAGGGAGATTAAAGCAGAGCTGATGGCACAGTAATATGCAAATAAGACAAATCAAACAAATTTGCCATTTCTGGTCACATATAACACTCAAACCCATGAGAAGCTGCAATATTTCAGCCCCAGCCTTGCTGCATTTAACAGTTGCATTGAAATTTGACTGCTGGAGATATTTTCTTTAAATCAAATTGAAAAAATACAAAAAACCAAACAAAACAAATAACCATAGCAGAAATTTTACTCACTCGTCTTTTCCCAGAGGAAGTGCCTGGAGCATCTGAATCCACATCCACTTCTGCCACCTAAAGGCAAAGGGAATGATCACACACAGGTCTGGATAACCCTCAGCCAAGGAAAAAGGGTTAAAAACCAGCCAGCAACAACCACAGGGCAACAGGAACTACAGCACATTTCAAACTGCACTGAAGGGGAGAAGGTGTCAGGAGAGGGAAGCAGCTCAAGGCAGTGATATCCACCCTGGATTCTACCTGACATTTCACTCCAGGGATCAACTGATGGGAAATTATACAGAATTACATAAGGAAATCAGCTTTGCTGCCTCGTTGACAATGGAGAGCTGTTGTCCTTCTGACTGACTAACAGCTCCACTTCCCAGCTCCCCTCATTACTCATCCTTCCAACAAAACATCATGTACTGAGAGAAGATTAAAGACAGCCAGTTCCAAAAAGCATTTTTACTTCCGGGAGTTTATTGTCTCAGGTGAGCCTAAACAGCCTCTCTCCAAAACTCAGTGCAATTATCCATAAAATAAAGACTCAACAAAAATCAAAATCTCTTTCATGTGCCAAATTTTAAAAGGGAAGGAAATTATCTTACCTCCTCTTCCTCATCTGTACTGCTCAGGTCTTCTGCTTTCACCTTGTTGTAGATTTCTAATATATCAGTACAGCTCTGATCTCTGCAGGACAATGACAAAAACCAAGGTACACAATGAAGGATCCCAGGAATTGGAGCTGTGGGGTCTGTGAGGTCCAAACTCACCCAATGAAGCGGAGCAGGACATCTGTCACAATTTTGGCTGCTTTGACTATGGGGCTGTCTGGCTCGTTGAAAGTCCTGGCATTGTGCTCAATGTATCTTACCTCCCACATCAGGGCAGAGATTCTCCTGAAAAATACATAAAATTAAAGTAATGGGATGGAGAGGAACATGTATGTTATTCTTCTTCCACATTCACTAGGATTCTTCAGTAAAAAATGGAATTGGGAATTCAGATCAAGCAGAAACAGGTTGTCCTCAGAGGGGTAAGTAAGAGCAGGACATTATTTATTCCCAAATTAACTGGGAAAACTGGGATTTCCAGTTTCCAGCATCATTCAGTCCCCTTCTAGCAACGGCAGCACAAGCAAAGACCCTGCTCAAAGGCAGCAGGGATAGAAACAAAGCAAACATGCTCTGCCTCCAACACAGAGCCAGGCTCAGGGTGTTCAACCAACACTCCCGATCCAGCTACAGCAGCTTTTGCCCTAAAGGCCAGGAGAATTTATTATTCAGGAAGACTCACTTTGCCCAAGGCCAATCTGATCTTCTGCTGTTGCTGAAGGGACTTTTAAACAGCATTCAGCTCCACATAATAATAAATGCAATAAGTGTCAGCTACAAACCCAAACTCACCTATAAAACCTGTTTTCAAGCCTCCTCCTGATGGTGGTGAGGTCAGTTGGATAAGCAACAACAGTGCAATACATGGGATAGGCACTAAGGTCCACTGGAACAGCAAAGGGATTAGAAATGTCTGCAAGACAAAAGACCACGGTGATTTAGATGCCTCCAAGGGATGTTATAATGTTAAACCAAGATTCCTTTTAATGGTTTCTGGGGTTTCTTTCAAAGAATTCAGCAAAAGCAACACAGAACTACAGCTGAGAATGTCATTACCTACTGGGCAGGGTTCCTCCTCTTGTGCCATCTATTCCTACTCTTGAAAAAGCATTTTTTGTTTAAAAATCACATCTGAGATTTGTGTGCCAGCAGCCAATATGACTGAAAGGATTGAGGCATTTGCACTTACAACAGGAATACTACAACATGCAACACTGAGTAAGAACACAGACGTGTCCTGGGTGTAAACAAAGGCAGAATTTAAAGCACAGAGTGCTACTAAATGGTTACTAATCAGTTACAAGGAATTTGGAGCTCAGGGTATTTAGTGAGGATTTGTTGGTTGGTTTTGAGAGGTTTAATTGTATGTTTTGCTCTTTCACCTTTAGATATGACCCGCTAGGAAGCTCCACTGAAAGAACTCATGTGAAGCCCCAGAAAAAAAGGGAATTTAGCTTGGAAACTGAAACATGAAATTTAAAAGGCTTTTTTCAGTAATTTAGTTGAGTACATTTCAAATACTCCACACCATGTCCCAGCACTCCATCCCATCCACTCTTCAGTCCTGTGCCACTCCCTGGTATTGTTAATCCTTCCTCCTTTTCTCTCCAAACATACCGAGGGAAAGAAGCTGCTCAATCCCCCGGATTACTCGTTCACATTCTTCATCTCTGGAATGGGCCCCCCATTCTCCTTCCTGGGGCTTGTAGAGAAGAGCTGTCAGCTCCTCTGGGGTCACAGGAACTCCAGCACCGACCTCCTCCGGATAAGCAGCTGGAGAGGAACAATTCCAGAGGGTAAATCCAGGGCCCCAGAGCCGTTTGCTTTGTGCAGGGACAGGAATCCAGCACACACTTACTTCCTTCTGGGATAGGCTCCATGTCCCATGGACTCATCCTCTCTCTTTCATTGTTGTCCCAGCTATTAAAAAGTTCATTCAAATGCACAAGTTAGAGCTGAATATAGAGACACACCTTTTCTTTACCAGATTTGACCCAAAAGGTCACTCCAGTTAGGAATAAGACATTCCAACTCCCTATTTTCCTCTTGTATCTCTTATACAGTCACTGCGCTGCTGTTTATACCAGAATTGTTGCTTTAGGAATAAATTAAAAAATGAAATAAGTAAATATCAAAAATACTCTAAAGTAAATAAATAGTAAGTAACAAATAAGAAATACAATATGTAACATTATATAAGTAAATAAGATGTCTGGGTATGTATTTACTTGGAAAAAGAGATTCTAGCTCCTGAGGTTCTTGATCCTATTTCTGAAGTTGTCTGAGTTGTGTAGGAGCCCCAGGACATGGAAATACTCACTGGACACTGTAGCACTGGAAGGAACTATCAGGATATTCTGCCTGGAAAGGCTGCTGACTCTCCACAGTCCCAAACCACCAGGCATCATCAATGATACTGCGAAAACGATCCCCTGAAAGGGCAACATTCAGAAAAAGAGCAACATCAAGAATTGTTAAATGCTTCCTCTTAGAGAATCAGCTCCCTCTTTTGTGAATGCCCTACTTCCATCCTTACATTTTGCACCCTCAGGGCAGGACTTACCCATCTCTGGGAATTACTCACAGCTGCCTCACACTTCAGATCCCAACAGATCAGGAGATTCTCCTGCTATCACTGCCCTTGGAACAGTTTCTCTCATATATCTTTTTCATTTTTGCTACAGGAATTGCAGCAAACATCAAATAAAAGTTTCCAATAATCTTTACAATATCACGTGTGTACAGTCCTTCACATCAAGGAATAAAGACACTGTGTCCCATTAAACAGCTGCAGAAATGGTGCAAAACACATGGAATTGGGGAAAAAAATACTCACCTATTTGCCAGTTCCTTTCTTTGGCTTCATTATAAAACTGATGCAGCACAAGGAAATCAATAACATCTGGCATATCGTGGTACCTTCAGGAAATAAGACCAAAAAAAGTTATTATTGCCCAGCAATACAATTCTAGATGAACTACAGAGTCCTCAAATTCCATGCATTTGGGAGAAACATTACTGCCATCATCATGCCTTGCACAGGAAATAAGAAAGGAGGAGGGGGGAACTTCTACACTGCAAGGAAAGCTCTTGAAGAATGTCATCAGCATTCCAGTGACTTACTTTATGGAAAAGGATTCTCCTGTCATTTTGCCTGTGATTGGATCCAGGAATGCAAGCTTCAAGCAGCAGAGTGTGGGAGGCCCAACTTCATATTTAATTCCTACAGTCTTCACAAATTCTTGTTCCTAGTTAGCAAGAAGCATGGAACAGCATTGTTTCACCTTGCCAACAACAAAATATCCATTTTAAAGTGAAACACATTAATAAAAACTAAGTATGTTTCACTCTAAAACATGGGTAATTTCACCCATTATTTTTTCTTTCCCAAATACTAAAATCAATCACTGTCACCTCAAAAGGAAAAATTAAGAAGCTCATTCCCTTGGCAGGTTTGTGAACAGGATTCCTACAAAATATTTAAGAAGGTTCTAAGGAACAAACCCAGTTTTAAGCACACCAAAGGTTCTCCCTGACCTACCCCAGGGCCCCTCACTCTTGCACAGTCAGAAAAAAGGAAATTCTTCCTCTGAAAATGGAAATTACACAATAGCCTTTATGTTCGTGTCCTGTCAAAGCCCATTCTAAGTGAACAGATATTTCCTTTTCCTCACAAAGTGATGATGCCTTGGAAAATTACAGCTGGAATCACTGAATATCTGGGACTGTAACTGGGTATTTTCCCAGTAATTAACAGAACCACTGGCATGGTTAAGTGAATGTGAGCACATATATGGGCTCTTCTCTTGGTCTGAAATCTGAAGAAAGCAGGAAAAAATATGGCAACACTGTGGATTAAGGTTTGGGAACTCATTCAAAGCAAGATTCAGTGTTTAAGAGAACTCCTTCACACATTTAGGTGTTTACACCATGATTTCTTACTTCTTACCACAGCATTAAAAACAAGAAACAGAACCCAAATGCACAGGTCACTGTAGAGTGATGAGAGAACCACAAACAGCTCTGCAGTGCTGGCTTCTGAATAAATTCAGTGTTCAGGCAAAAATAATTTGTGTTGAAAGAGACCCTTGAGAATCAAGTACAAAACCAGGAGGTGAACAGATGTAAAGACTTTGTGTTAATAAAAACTAACTTTAATATTTACAATTAAAACTTTGATATGAACATTTTAAAGCAATACTTTCTTTGCACTTTTCATGCTCGTTTGTCATGTCAGTTTAACATTCAGCTCTTTGAAGTATTTCTTGAACTTACCCTGAGTTCCATTTTGTTCCATGGTTGTTTTTGCATGTTAATACTGTAAATTTTGGCTTTCCTCACTGCCCTCACATAAGCTTCATGGCCTTGCCTAAAGTAGATGATCTTAAAAGAGAAAAAAAAAGAGATGAGAAAGTTAAGAGAAAAAAGAGCAAATGAGAAAAGTAGAGAAAATTATTTTAATGATTGTGCTCTTCCTATTCATAATACCAGCTCTTAACCCTTTGAGAACACACTGCATACTTATTTATTTCACCACACAACACTCTTCTAGTTAAAACTATTTCTATCAGCCCCCAAATTGGCACCTGCTCTGTGCTTTAAAACTGGGATCATTAAGAAATCTGCAGGTGAGGATGCACAACTGATTTTTCCTGCTAATCCAAGTCACCCGTGCAGAAAAAGAGACGCAGGACGTCGATCACTAAACAACAAAATGCCCAAGAATTAACAGAGTTATCAAAACTCAGCCTGTCCTGAGCACAACTCCCTGCAAATATTGCTGGGCTGAGGAGTCCCAAGCAAGCAGAGCTGCTGGGTGCCCTGGGAATGTGGAAGCGAGGGCAGTACCTCATCCCCCATCTGGGGCACGAAGGGCGAGCGGCGGGGAATGGTGTCCAGGATCCACTGCGGGGCCAGCCACTCCTCACTGGGCTCCCCCTCCAGGGCCAGCAGCCCGCTGGCTTTCTGAACACACACATCAGGAGATCACACAGGTGAGTGACACACAGAAGTTACGTATTTGCATGAATTCAGAATGCAATCGGCACAATATTCAGAGTACTGTTAGCTCCTATGGAAAACTCATCGTGCAGCAGTTACTGCAGGTAAGATACAAGGAAGAGCAAATTGTGGAGTGTCATCCTTGCCAAAATCTCCACTAAATAGCAGAGAATAAGACAGGTTTGTTATAAATAAAATTGAAAATTAAAACCTTCATAAATCATTAAAATGCCTTAAAACCTTCATAAACCATTAAAATGCCTATGACAGGGGGTTGGGATAAGATGATCTTTAAGACCTCTCCAACTCAAGCCAGTCTGTGGTTCTATAATAAATAAATAAATTGTATTTCTATAAATATTCTAAATGTCTTTAAAAAAATTAGCAGGAAAAAGAAATCTGACTATGTCAATACAATAGAGATTCATTATAATTTTACAACAAAACCACCCTGTTGTAAACCTGACTGTGGTGAAGAGCATAAATCTGTGAGGAAAAAAAATACATTTGAAATGCAGAACCACCTATGGGAAACATGGAAGCCCAATAAAACAAACAATAAAATTTCTTGGTGCCACTGGTAGCACAATTACTGTGATCTCTATATTTTTTTTTACTCTATATTCATTTATGAAAACTTTTTCTTTGAAAACAATCACTAAACCTCAAATTTATATTCATAAAATACAAAAGATACTAAGAATTACACTTGCTGACCTTCTTCCTTGGCTGTTTAAGTTTCCTTCGCTTTGGCTCCAGCCCTTTTGTTCCCTTCATATTTTCATCTTCAGAACTACTACAGATTTTCCGAGCTGCCTGCCTGGTTTGTCTCTTTGGAGGCTGCAGATTAATCCCAGCATCTGCTGTCCAGTCTGAATATTCACTTGATGAATCACTGTAGATAATAAAAAAGTTGTAAGAATGAGAACAAAAAACTTCAGTTTCCCCACAGTGGATTGAAAAGTCCAATCATTCAACCTGATCTCCTGGTTCTGTTCAGGATTATCACAGAATTTTCTTATCATGTGAATTTAGAGAAAAACAAAGGCTTTCTGATTTGTAATTTCAGTAAATTATTTTATCAATTTGAAACTCTATGTAAAACTACATCTATGGCTGATATAAATTCTCATTATCTCACTGATTCACAGACTGACTTCATAAGAACTGGCAGCAAAAAAATGCATGGAACATTTAAGGAATAGAGCACTTCCCTAAAAATCCAGCTATGACTTCTTTAATACCAAATAATACACATACAGGATTTATATGGCAAACTGGCATTGATTTTTTTCAAGTAGCTCTTAATTAAAGGCAACATCTTCTTATAAAAGTTTTTTTTAGAATTGTTTCTGAATTTGAAAAGAGCATGAAAAAAATCACAATAAGAAATGTTTCATGACTGATTAAAAATCAAACTTCAAAATGAAGTCTTGAGTATCTCAGTATCAACTGTCCTACTAAAATCCCATAATAAACCAGTGCTCCCAATTCAGAGCCCAGTGGAGGTACCTGGAACTGCTTTCACTCTGCCAGGCTGCCACAGGATCATCCATGGATGCATCACTTGTGCCAACAGTCTCATCTTCCTGTAGTGAAAACAAGAGGATTCACTCTGGGGCCAAGGGTAAAATTTATCATTTTTGTTTGCAAGCAGGTTGCGTCACCTGAAGAAAGCTTTGCATTCAAGGGCTGGTTTAGCTTTAAAGAGATAAATCCACAATTTCTTCCTGTATCTTAATTAATATCATAATATATCCTTATATAGCTCCTATAGAAACAAATGTGAATTTTAATTATAGAAGAACTACAGAGTGGGTTCTTATTTAAGCGTTTGATTAATAAATTTTAGTGCCCAGGGCACAGCTTTTTGAGCTTTTCTATACTTTCAATGCATTTACAAAGCAACAATGTTCAGTCTCTTCCTTAAGGAGAACAAGTTATATATACCTGGTATATTTTAAGTTCTTCCCTTGTTAAAATCAATGATTAATACCAATACTCAATCTCTTTCAACAGCACTCTACAAATGTAGATTAAATCAAAGCACTGCAAAATGAAATCAAAGTCCTGACCCAGAATCCATGTGCTGTATGAAATCCCAAAATAGCAAGTGGTTTAACACAACCCAGTTAAATTTACTTGAAAATGTTTCAGGTTTCCAAAAATACAGGAGCTGTTTTAAGCTACTTTTGAACACTGTCCTGGCATTTAGGTAAATGATCCTTCACTCTCCAAGACCAACATGCCACAGGAACACCACAAATCCCAGGGACTCAATGACCTGAGTGTTTCTTCCCATGTGGAGAATCACAGAATATCCTGAGCTGGAAGGGACCCACAAGGATCAGAGTTCTTGCCCTGCCCAACAATCCCACCCTGTGCATCCCTGGCAGTGCTGCCCAAACCCTCCTGGACCTCTGGCAGCCTTGGGGCCGTGCCCATTCCCTGGGAGCCTGGGCAGTGCCAACACCTCTGGGGGAAGAACCTTTCCCTGATCCCCAGCCTGACCCTGCCCTGGCCCAGCTCCAGCCCAGTTCTCTGGGTCCTATCCCTGTCACAACCTCTCTGGATTCCCAAGACTGCTCAAAAAATCATCAAGAGAGGCTTTGTGACAGCATCAGCAGCAATTTGAGGATTCTGGGATGAATTCTCTCAGGCCCCATCGATTTGTAGGGATCCAGCTGGAGCAGAAGATCCCACAAGCTCAGGCTGATCACTCTCACTCATGGCCCTCCAGCTTAGAGCACTGGGACCCCTCTGCTCCATCAACCACGTTGAAGATGGAGACAAAGGATGTGTCAAACCCCTCTACCCTGTCCCTGTTGGTGAGGTGACCATCCCCATGCTGGAAAGGGCCAATATTATTTTCACACCGCCTTTTGCCACAAATACATTTGCAAAACCTCTTTTTACTGCCCCCCACCCCAGTCCTGGCAGCTCCAGCTCAAACCGAGCTTCGGCTGCACAAACTTCCTCCCTCCAGCAGAACCTTAACGTGGATTTGGGAAGGGGGAAGCAGCTGGAGGCTGCAGGGAGGCTCAGACCTCAGAGGAGCTGTCGGAGTCGTGGCGTGCACAGGGGTTCTGGCTGGCTCCCTGCTGGCTGTGCTCGATGGTGGAGCGCGTCTGGTACGCGTGCTGCCGCTTCCGCTGGTTCCTGCGCAGCGCGCGGCCGCCTCCCGCCTGGAACTCGCTCTGCCAGGGCCACAGGAGCACAGACAGGGACAAAGCAGGGATTTACCCACAAGTTACACACTGAAAAGGTGCCTGGTTACAGCAGCTGAGTGTTGCACCCCAGTTGATTGTGCTGCACCCACAACTGAGCACTAAGAAAGCGTTGTAAAACTGGACACTATCTCTGGCACATTGTGGATGTTTTAGGTGTGGATTTCAACAGAAATTCTACTTTATAAAGTGGCAGTCTTTGGAAAGGAAATGATTAAAAATAACTTTTTTTTTTCTATAAAATTCTTGCAGTCTCTGCATAAGATAAATCCAGCCCTTGTACAAGTTTGGCACCTTTACTTTCCACAAGTCAAACTGAAAACCCACCGTGGCTCTGCGATTTTCCTTTCCCAGCATCTTCCCACCACTGAAACCTCAATGACAGAGATTTACCATTATTTGGGTATTACAGACAGTCAAATCAGTTACAGAAGGAAGAAGACAGTGAGCCAGAGAAACAATTAAGACTCTAAATAATTCAATAAAATTGGTTGGGTTTTTTTGTTGGTCTTATTTTTGCTGCTCAGTATTGCTTCCTACTCAGGTTGTCTCTTCCAGGGCACTAACTCACCCGTTGCAAGGTGTGAGATGGCTTTCTCTTCTTGTCAGCAGTGTATAAACTGATTTCTATTTCACCTTTGGCAGCTCGACATTCTTCCTGGACCCTAATTATACATAAGAAACACACATTATATTCATTAAATCATCATGGAACTCAACACAGTCCTTAACCTACACATCAAAATACTTGTGCTGCTCTAAGAAATCTGTGCATAAATCCCCCTAGCAGCATCCATCCATTCACTCCTGGAATCACAAGTTAAAGATGCAAATTCGTTAGCTGAGCAGCCATAATTATTTTCAAATGTATTACAATTATTTTCAAGTCTTTTTTAAGCAAAGCTTGAGGGAAAACGTGGTATTCAGAGTACTAAAGAAACACTGAATTGTGAAAGAATGAATTACCATTCTCAACTCTCCACTCTGATCCCAATATTCCAAACAACCCAACCAACCAAGCCGCAAAGCTGAAAGATCATTCCAGGAGCACGGAAGGATCATTCCGCACAAGGGAACCTCTCGTCCTGCTGAGCCTCTTACTTGCTGATGCCCGGGGGGAGCTCGTTGACCACCACCCTCCTGCTCCAGGCCATGAGGTCCCTCTCGGTGGCCATCTGGCTGCGGGGCGCGTTGTGGTGCATCTGCCGCACGCCCTCGATCTGCCCGCTGCGCCGCAGCCCCACGTTGGGCGGGGACGCCACGTCCAAGCCCGGGCTGCGAAGAGCTGGGGGAGACAGAGAGAAAGAAAGAGCTTCCTCACTTCCATGGTGTGGGAATCCAGGGCTTCCCTCTGGCTGCCCTGGAAGGTCTGAGACCCTGGCAGGGGTCAGGAACCCCCCTGGACAGAGCCCCAGAGACACTGGCTGTCATCTCTGTTCATGGAAAAGAGTTTTCAATCTTACAGGATCAATTACCAGCTCTGAGTGTTTGATATAAGTAATAATTAAGTGTGGCATGGGTGCAAAAGTAAAATTTTAGGATTCTAGATTAGGGGTCCAAAGGGCACAAGATGGAGGAAACTGGGTATGTATTGTCCTTTTTCTCCTTCTTCATGCCCTCCATGTTTCACTGTGGTGTTGGCATTTTTCTGTTGGTTCAGGCTGGGGACACACTGTCCAACGTAGGTGACAGATATTGGCATGTTATTGTAAATCCAGCCCAGGGAGTTTCTGGTATTTAATGTTTGTCACATCCCACTGAGGGCAGAGCCCCACACGCTGCCCTGCAGGACAGAGCTGGGCAGGGCAGCAGAACATGTGAGAGATAAACAGAATAAACAACCTTGGAACCAGCACAGACCAATTATGGCTTCTGCTTTGGCAGCGGGGCTGACAGACAGAGACTTTCTACAATCTCGGAATCATCAATAGCACAGATTCTGACACCATGGATCACCAATAAAATCACAGAGTCACCCAGGATGGTTGGGTGAGGAGGGATCTTAGAGATCAAACAGCGCCAGCTTCTGCCATGGGACACCTTCCACTCTCCCAGGTTCTCCAAGCTCTGTCCAGCCCTTGGGCACTTCCAGGGATCCAGGGGCAGCCACAACTTCCCTGGGCACTCTGTGCCAGGGCCTGCCCATCCTCACAGGGAACAATTCCTTCCCCGTATCTCATCCACAATTTCAAGCTTAAGGACGGCACAAAGATTGATAAGCAAAGGTTGATAATAATGGAATCACTGCCATCATCGTCCTCACTTTTCCTTCACAATTCCCACATGCTTAAATACTGTTATCAAATTATAATATTACATTTATGGTTGTGTAAAGCTATATAAAAATATCTGGCTGTTTCAATACTTTATATGTACTCCAGGTAACAATCAAATGGGCAGTTCATGTGGGCAGTCACTAATCAATGCAAGCTCTAGGGAAGGGAAAGGAATTGCTTTAATTTCCACGCTACTCATACCTGGAAACTCCTTTACACAACTACAGGGACACACAAATAAAACTGGGAACTGGGGCTGTACAACACATCAACATATCCTAAGCAGCAGAAAAGACTCTGTGTGAGCTGAAGCTGCCTTTTAGGCAAGCTTTTTGAAATATCAACTTAGATCAAAGCAAAAATGCATTTTCATATTTTTCTCTGATATTTTTCTTACTCCTTCTTGGATTGAAACATAAGCAATTCCACATCCAAATCCTAATGAGCTTTGCCAGGAAATGTACTTCAAACACATGTAATCAGTCACTTAACCTAGAAGTGATTTATTAGCAGCTGTGAATTCTCCCAAGGCTCAGGCTGACTTGCAGCACAGTCCTGGGCATCTGCTCCCTCCCATCACTCAGCTGCTCACATCTGATTGAGTGTGGTTTCAATTTTTAATCACTTTGTGTATTAAAAATAAAATCACAGTAGCAGAACACTTAACAGGAGAATAATCTCAAGCTTTCTAAGGAAACACTAAGACAGAGCAACATATTTATTTTATTAGCACTGATGCTCAGCCTTGTGCTGCAGCAGGAAACCATTAGTCTGTCACAACACTGTATTCCACTGACAGCCCCTAATTATATGCTTTTATTTTGGCATTTTGCAGTTATGAAGTTTCATCTCTGCACCGATAGCAAGACAATACAGTGAACTTCATGCTTTTTTTCAGGAAACTGGTTTGTAGCAGTCTAATTCCAGTCTAATAACTCCAAACAATCAGATACAGCCCAGTTAGACAACTGGGTGCCCTTAACTGCCCCTTAAATTTATAATCCTCTTTTGGAATCCACAGAACATCCCAGTGCTCCATAGGGGCTAACAAGGTGTACAAGAAGAGGATAGAAAAGCATTTTCAAAGATAATGTGTCAAAACTGACATTAACATTTTGATTTTGATCAATCCTTCCTGTGGTAAGGTAGGAACTGATGGAGATAAGGCTGGACACTGACCTCCGTTAACAGAGTGGGATCTGTTGAGTGGAGGGTTTGGAGGAGTTTCTCCTTCATTAATTAGTCTCAGATCTTGTTCCCTCTGGAGCTCTCTGATCATTCCATCAAGGATACTCTCATCCTGGTCATTGGTTTGCTGCCCGATGACTTGTTCGACCACCTCACCATCACCTTGACAAGAACAAAACCACAAATGCTGATAAAATGATGGATTGCTATATTAGCAAACAGCATAGAAATAATCCTATTTAAAACTCTGCACCACTACTTGCTCTGCAAAACATCTGATCACCAGCTGGCTTTCTGCTCTCATGTAATAAATGGAGGCAAAGTTTAGAAGAGAAGTTACAATAAAATCCTAAAACTCCAGACCACATGCAGAACATAAACACAACCCATTAGAAACAGCAGAAAGAAATAATGCTTCAGTAGGTAAGAATGGAAGGTCTTTTTTGGAGATCAGCATTTTGCTAAAGTTTGTGTCTACAAGAAAAAATAACTGTTTTAAAAAACAAAAGCTGGTTTTCCATGTCCTCCTCACCTTCCTGCTTGCTTTATGACATCCATAGTTACAGAGGTTAATAGACAATGCTTTAAACATCTGCCATATACCTGGGAAAAATCCACAGATTTTGGCATAGTCTTGCCTCCAGTCAATTTGATTCCATACATAATCCCCACCCCACCCCCTCTTCTACCTGTATATTGAATTTAAACCATTAATTCATACATCCTCACAGCACCATCCCAGGAGCTGGAGCTCAATACTGTGCCACACTTGTATTATTCATGAGCTTCAGACAGAATACCATTAGCCACATATCCCAGCTGAGGAATAAGTTGTTCATCCTTGCAATTTTCCCTCCCTGGCACCAGCCGCTGGAATCTCGTGGGATGAGGATTTCCATCAACATCCACCAGGAATGGAGGAGGCATAAGGTGTGGAGCCTGTTGAGTCTGCTCATCCAGCACATAATTATTGGCATCCCGGATCAGGGGCCGGTAATCCGTGTGGAAGAACATCTGATCAGGAATCTGAAAGAAAAGCAATTTAGGAAATAAATCAATGGCCATTTGCAGCTGTCTTGCTGCTCTGGAATGGCTCCCATAAACCACAACTCCTACACTTGGGATCAGCACAAGGAATGTTGTGATAGGGAACAGATTCCTGACACAAATGTGGTTTATTACCGAGGCCTGATGCAGAAATTCAACAGTAAAGTAGGCCAAGAGAGGTGGACAGAGAAGTTAATGCTTTTCTCCTCTGTCTATAGAGTCTCTTGTCTAATCTTTTTGATTTAGATAAACAGCAACTGCTCCATGACCTAATTATTATTTTGTCTGGGGCAGGGTGAAGGAATAAATTGTAGCACAAATACTTCTAAGACAAAATCAGGTCAAGACAGGGAAGAGTTTAAAATTCATTCAACCCACCTTTTCATAATATTTATTGCATCCAAAACCAAATAGTAGCAGATGTCCATGAGAGTCTGTGCAGGCAAAATGCTGCCCATCTGGTGAGAACTTGCAATCAAAAACAGCTCCATGGCCTTGGCCCTCAATCTGTACCAAGCACAGAGAACTCCTTTCACAACCAGACACTCTCTGTAAGAGCATTTTCACAAACATTTCCCCCGTGCTCCAACATGTACTGAATCCTCACCCTGCAACTTCACATCTTGCTCAAGACTGATTTACAGAGTTAAATTGAATAAAAAAGTATTTCAACCCAACTTTTAATGTATGTTCTGGAACAACCACCTGGAAGTCTACATTTTATGTTAATGGCAGACATAGGTCAAGATCACCAAAGACCTCAGAGCTGTACTGGCTCTGGAGATATTTAATGATATCTGCTTTTGCCTCAAGACCAGTTTGTTGAAAAAAAACAAAACAAAACAAAACAAAACAAAACAAACCTTCTGTGATCCTTCTTACCATGTTAAAGTAATTGCGTATTTTTGTTCCTTTGTCTATATCCCAAACAAAAATATTCCCATCGTGTCCTGCCGAAAGCACAATCCTTTGGTCAAAGGGATGAGCCTCCAGAACAAAAACCTCATCGTCGTGACCCTGCAACGACAGCAATGGGAAAAATGAAGTTTTATTTCTCCATGTGGTATCTCCAGATGTGCTGGGAGTTACTGAGAGGACATCCCAGAGCAGGGAGTCACCCAGGACCCCTCAATTTCCTGGAACTGTGCTTGGTCACCATTCCTGCCACAGGTTTGGAAGCACTGCTGAGATGGGGAGGGATGGGGAGGAAGGAGACATCAGGGCACAAATGGAGCCTCCAAAGGGTTCCCTGTCAGCCAGCCATCACAAATGGAGCCTCCAAAGGGTTCCCTGTCAGCCAGCCATCACAAATGGAGCTTCCAAAGGGTTCCCTGTCAGCCAGCCATCACCAGGATTCTGCACACCAGCTCCTTTCCCCATGGTGCACCCTCCTCATAGCAGGCAGGGGACAGCTGGATACTTCAACACCAAATCCTTGTCGTGGGAATGCTGATGAGTTCAGCCTCCGATCAATCTCAGAGTGAACTACATCCACCTGGGATTTCCCCCCTGGAATTGTACTCACAGATAAGCTATGGAGAAGCTGCCCTGTGGACGAGTTCCACACTTTGAGGAGGAAATTGTTGACTGCAGTGATGACGGTGGCATCGTATCGATCCCAGGCCACCATGGTAACCTTCAGCTTGGTGACCTTGTCCTCTCCAGATGCCACATTGTTTCTAAGGAAATCAGTAATTTAGAAAGGAATAAATCAGTAATTACATATGGAAACACTTAGGAGAGCTAATTCAGTATAAAATTCGAGGGAGGATGGATCACAGGCACCTCTGTGACTCTGGCTAAGGCAAGGGAATGAAGGATGGTTCTGCAGTGGTAAAAAACAAATACAGGAAATATTCAGTGCCACTGAGATTTATAGAGCTCTATTTCCTTAAAAAGGACATTTTCTCCTCTGTTCCTAAGCCATCATCCTTCCCTACCCCCATTTTTCCTTTCAGCTTTATTAAGCTTTTTTCTACAAGGCATTTTTCTTATCAGTCATCAATATCAGTGCACTCCACAATGAGCAGGAACCTCCTAAACAAATCCAACTCACAGTTCCGACTGCAAACACTGCAAATGCAACCACTGAAATATGGGGAATTCTGCAAAGCAAGTGCCTAATGGATTTCTCCATTTCTGCTCTTTGTTGTTGTGAATATTCAATTACAATTCAATTACAGGGCACTTAAAGAAGTCACTTGAGGATCTCAAAAAGAAAAACTCAAAACCCTAATTGAACCTGAGAACCAAACTAATTTCACCTCTTACTTGGAAACCTAAGGTAGAAATACAGTGCTAAGAACCATGTTGGATATATATATATATAAGCAAATGATCACTGGGGCACTACCAAAATCTCTTTCTGTGAGATAAATCATTTGATATTCTTATTTCATGTGTAAAATACTAAATATTTCTCAACCATTACGACAGGGAAGTACCAACAGATTATTATTTATTTGGGGGTGAATTAACTGTGTAAGTTGACAAAGCCACCACATTTTCAATACATGCACGGAAATCAACTCAAAATGGAAGCAAATAACTAATAATGAAGGATTTAGCTTGCAGTTAAATGTGCCCATGAGGTGTGTTCTGCTTGCTCTGCTTTACCCTGTCATTTTTGTAGCCATATCCAGGACCAGACTCTTCCAGTCATGCTGATGGTAGTGCCAGATTCTTGCTGTTCCATCCCTGCTTCCACTGACAAACCTTAAACTGTGGGGCAAAAGGAAAAAAAAAAAAAAGCCATGAAATTCTGAATAAAGATGGTTTCACCCCAACATAGACACCAATAAATTATATATATGCACACTTGGAAGTGTGTACTTGTGCATCTCTACTTCTCTCACTCATGAGGTTACAATTTTCCTATCAGATACTGGAGGGTAGAAGAGAGTTTCTAGCCCACAACATTAATTACATTTGGCTCCAGCAGCAGATGGCCTTGGAATGACTTCAATGTCGTAATTCATACGAGCTGCACATTCCCTTTTTAATGACATCAGCAAATCCCTGGAGCAGCTCTGAGTGGCAGCAAAGAAAGGGAAACTGAGTGCCAGGAGTCTGGCATAAATTATAATGCATTAACTTAGGGACAGGGTGAAGACAGGCAAGGGAAGGAGCCAAATGGAGCACAAGGAGGTTGTCCTGCCTGTGGAGCAGAACAGGAATATTTTAATTTTTAAACCCCTCCTTATTAAATAATGTCAAATATGCAGCAAATGTATTTAACCACATCAAAATGCTTCAGCCATCGATGTCACTGAAATAATTTTTGTTGAGGAACTGGGAGAAAAGCTACTCAAGTAATAGATTTTCACAGGATGGCCAAGACCTTTGGAAGGATATTCCATTTATATACAAAATTACACTGAAAAGGCAAATCTATTCAATTTTATGAAGTAATTGTTTCACCTTTTCAGTTTCCTGGTCTGATTTTTTTCACTGTGATGAAAAAGAACTTGAAAATTCTTGTGACAAATTAATTTTCTTCTTAATTTTACTTCTTTATATTAAAATAAAAAGGAAGACACCCATTTTCTATTGAAAGCATTGTTACAGAATATAATTTTCAGTGAGTATGTGACCTCCTTCTCTCTCACATGGCTTGGAAGGAACTGGTGGTACAATTATCCCAGCACATTCCCACATAATTCCACATGACAAAGCTCTCCAAGTACAGGTGCACAGCTACAACTGGGCTTGGAAGGCTCATCCCTTAAAGGCACATCCCTTCAACCTCCTGCCCAGCAAAATAAGGAACAGGAGCAAAAGCAGATAAAAACATCTGTATTTACTAACTTTTGCTTCAGACTACATTGATTAAAATGCTCTTCCTCCACAGGCAACGCCTCAGGGGTCTACCTGGGAAGGTTCTGACACAGAAAGGTTTTAAAATTTGGGTTCCAATTTGCTGTTTTAAAGGAAAAAACAAATTAAAAAGCAGAGTTACAAAACATTTTTGTTGTTACAGCAGAGGACAACGAGTTTGAGCTTGTGGACATGACACACATCTTGCAACACACTGCAATAATTTTTCCAAGATTAAGCCAAGCCCACGGGCAAATCTTCCTGTGCCAAGTTTTCCATGAAATGGTGTTTGGAAAATTAAATATCATCATTGTCAGGTCCAAAACCCAGCACTCACCTGTCACCGTTGTTACAGAACTGCACTGCAACCACTTTGTCCTAAACAGGAGCGGGGAGAACAACAGAAGTGAAAAACTCAGCTTCAAAGATAAGATTTTTACTTAGCAAATTTTTAAAAAGTCAAAAAATTCAAGTACAGAGAAGATGTATTTGAAGTTAAAACTTTACCAGACAAATTGTGTGAAACACTGAAATAGGAAACTTCAGAGAGGTGATGGTTTCCTGTAATTTTTACACCTAACATGAAAGTGTATAAAAAAATTAATCCAAAAAAATGCACACCTTGACTATATTATAAACACTCACAAATCATTGAGAAACAAATGTTATGTTTTAGACACAGTTTTGTCCTTTTTTTAATTTGCCCAATACTTGGGCTGGCTCCATGATTTGCTCTCCCTACTCCCACTGATGTCTCTATCTCCTGGTAACTGGGATTTGTTTTAGGGGGGCTGACAGCTGTCTGCAGGATTAAGAGTGGATTTAAAGAAATTAAAGGAATTACAGCTTCTTCCAGACCTGTTCAATACAGAAAACATAATTTTCTTTTGTGAGCAAAATACTTGTTAGATGAGTTCTTGGAGACTTCAGTGTGGGAGCCATGACTCCCACTGAAGTTCAGGGAATCAATTAAGACCTTGGGCTTAATCCATAAAATGTTCCTGAGGTGGTAAATTTGTAGTTTGAATTTTTATGGAAAACATTATGCATTATCTGAAAAAAAAAGTATGCTTTTAAGCTTTATTTTCTAAATGAAGTTACCATCGTGATCCAAATTTTGACAGCACAGTCCAAAATCTGAATTACTTTCCTTATGTGGATTTAACTGAACATTCAACAGAAAGTTCAATAGGAAAAAATGACATTGTGCAATGACATAGTGCATTAAATCTGTTTTAATTCCTCATTCCAACACAGAATTTTTTCAAGAGTAAGGGAAGATCACCTGGTCCTTCAGTTTCCTGGGGAATGAAATACATAAGGCCTACTTTGCACAACCTCTTGCATCAGAAGGATTTAAAAATAAACATCCCACAAATTTCCAAGCATTTAAATACCAAAAAAAAAAAAAACAAAAAAAATCTAAAAAAAAAAAAAAAAAAAAAAAAAAAAAAGGATGTACAGAAATCAAGTTCCTGAAATGAGGAAAAGGGAGGAGAGGAAAAGAGATTTTCTTTTGGATTTGCCTCTTACCGTGTGAGATTCCAGCTCAGCCATTTTCTCTGGAGATTCTGAGCCCAAATAATAAATTCTTATCACGTGGTCAGTACTCCCTGTTGCAATGAACATGCCACCTAAAACAGAGAATTCTCTGTGAGAAAAAAAGTAATCCAAGGAACAACTTAATTTAATTTCATTTATTTTAATTGTCTGCTTTCTTGTCAAACTAGCAAACTAGTTTTAAAAAGAAAATTTTGCTGTAAACAGGTAAATGTCAAATATAAAATTTAAATGCAGTTTCAATGTCTGCTTGACACGCATCAGAGAAATTATTGCTGAGTTGGGATGCAGTGATTAAGGTATTTTATGTAATTTCTTTACAATATTGCTCCAAAAGGGCATTATTGTGTGGTTTATTGCATTGAAATGGGTTTAGTTAATTCAGGATTTCTGGCTTTAAAAAAGAAGTGTGGTCTACAAAAATTCTCACTTTCAAAAAGCAAATGTAAAGAGCAGTTACATCATTTTCTTAGTAAAAATCATTATTTTTGCTCATTCAAAGCTGCAAAGGAGGTTTGTTAAGCTGAGATTTTCCAATACATTGAATTGTTCCTCTTAGAATTCAGCCAAATTTGGAAGATTAGAAAAAGTGAAATATTTGACAGAGGATTTCCACAACTTTTCACTCAAAAACTTTACAAGGTAGTCTTAAAAGGATGCTACAGAGAAATATTTCTGATGTGCAAAACAGGAGACTGAAAGCCTTGGAAGTGGTCAAGCTATTTTAGCTTAAATTATAGCAAAAAAGAGAAAAAGCAGCTTGAGGCAGGCCCTTTGCAGGGAAGATTTCCAATAATCACAATTTGACAGGAATAAAATTAACTGGAAAAGGGTTTAACACTATTTGTATTTAAAGAGAAGTAACAGAACTATCACCAAAGCCCCAGATTCATGAAACAGCTGATGCTGGACATGTACCAGAACTGAAAGATGAACAGGAGATCTGAACACCAGGCCTGGACCTCTCTGCAAACTTCACAGGACGATCCCTACATGCAAAACACAATATTTTTATTTTCTTTCTTTATTCAACACAAACAGTTCCCTGCAGCTCAGCAGGCTGAGGTCAAGCTCATCTTAAATCTCTTAATTCTATATTTCTCACCTATGTGTGCCGGAATTTATTTTTCATTTTAGGAATTTCCTTCCTTAGTTTAATAAGAAAACAGTAATTCTGTAAACTGAGAAGATTATTGAACTGATTTATCATTATCCCCACCAATTCAAATCCTTTTGAAACAGACCCTGCCAAACCATTATTCCAATAGCCAATTCCCCCTGATTAAATATGGGTTTGATGACATCTACATATGTACATTCTTCTGATTAAAAGCAAATTAATCCTCCTGCCTGTACATTTTGGACAGGGATTTAATCCTGAATATAAAAGCTGGAATTTCTTCCACAATTTTGGCTTGCAAGGCACAAACCTCAGAAATAACAACCCCAATCTCTGCCTCCCCTTTGTGTTCCAACACCACAGAATCCCAAAGTGCTCCTACCCCACAAACCAGTTTATTGAGCAAGAAAACACCCTTATTTCATTATCTCAGCATTTTTCTCCATGCCAAAATTAAAAATAAATTTCTCCTTGAGTTAAAATAATTGTAATTATCTCAACAGTCTCACTTGAATTTCATGGTGTTCGCATGCCACTGCCAGAAACAGATTGTTCCGTCGGCACCAGTGGAAGTGAGGTATCGAGTTGTTCCTTTCCTTGCTGGAGAGAACTAAAAATAAAAGTTGTAACAATTAAACCAGCTGCTGTTTTCTCTTCTTTCACGCTGAAAACTTGTTGACAAGAGTGTTTTTCACTAACAGATTAGTTTCTCCCCAGGAGTATAGAGAGCAGAGGTAAGCACAGAACCTGAACTTCCATAAAAATAAAGCTGAGGAAATGGAAAACACCTACATTTTGGTTAGGAATTCTTTGGTTTTTACCACACAAAGGAAACTGGAGAAATGAAACAAGTCCAGACCCTGTAAATGAGGCAAAACCAGTTCTTTTTAGGATAGAACTGGATAAAACATGGCAAGTACAACTATTCCTGCATCCAAGCCCAACTAAGAACAACTGCACAGCAGGATCTCCTCTCCTCTATCTTCTTAAACCTCTCTAAGGAGTGGGAAAGCTTTTTATTCTCAATTTCATAACTGCAGGAATACCTTTAGAAATCCTTAGACTACCTGGTAATTTGGTAAAGGAATCCAACACTGCTTCCTCAAAAAGCAGTGACTGATTATATTTTAAATTATATTATAAAACTTTCAGTTTTACAAAGAGCTTAAGAGAAACACACACACACACATATATATACATACATATACATGTAAACAAGTTATATACCCAGGTTGGAAAATACATTTCTAACACAATCACATTTACATGGTTGAAATCAGGTAAAACAGGAGTGTAGGGAAGATGGGGAGAAATTAAGACTCCTGGGGAATACTGGCACGATGGAGAAGCCTGTGCTGAATCCAAGGCAGCACCACTCCAGGAGACAGAGATTCTGAGCCAAACAGCTCCACTCACTCTCCCCTCTCTGTGCATCACCTGCCAAACTGCAGGGATTGTCCTTTTTATCCTGGAATTTTGTTTTTTTTGAAGGCTTGTGGCAGTTGTGAATGTTTTATTTTAAAAAAATCTGCATTTGCTACAACATCCAGAGCAGCTCTTTAAGCTACAAGCTAAGATAACAAAAAAGAAACGGGGAGTAAGGAATTTTAACTGATCCTTCTGAAAAACCAATATTCTCAGTGAACACAAGAGAGTTCAGGTGCTGTGCCAGGAGCACAACCAAAGATGCCAAACACGACAGTGAGTTGAGCCAAGGAGATTCTGCTGCTCTCTGAGTTGCTCTAAAACAGCATCAGATCACCCATTTTGTATACCTAAGGAAGCAGCAGTGGGATCACACAGCTAAAAGCACATGGAAATAGGAGAATCATCCCCTGGGCACCACAGGATTGAGTTAACCAGGAAAAACACCCTTGAGTTGGGCCAAATGCCAGACACTGCTCTTATTACCATTCTAATTCAAGGGTTCTGGGGAAAAGCCCATCAGTCCTTACCTGTATGGAAGTGATGGAGGCTGAGTGGCCCTGCAGCACGGCCAGGGGGGCACAGGTCCGGAGGCACCACACCCTGACCACCTTGTCACAGCTGCCCGCGGCCAGCAGCGTGTTCTCGTAGTTGACGGCCATGTCCGAGATCTCGGCCGAGTGGCCCCGCAGGGTGGACAGCAGGCGCCCGTCATCCGTGGCCCAGATCTTCACCAAACAGTCATCTGACCCCTGAAATTCCACAGGAATTCCCAAAGGTTACATGTGTTCCGTGATGTGTTTCCATGCACGTCACACACGGAGCACCGCGGATGGACAGGGATCACAACCCCCGTGAACTGACAGGACAACTCCGTGGGATTCCACAGAGGCCAATTTTAGGAAGAAATTCTTCCCTGTGAGGGTGGGGAGGCTCTGGCACAGGGTGCCCAGAGAAGCTGGGGCTGCCCCTGGATCCCTGGAAGTGTCCAAGGCCAGGCTGGACGGGGCTTGGAGCACCTTGGGATAGTGGAAGGTGTCCCTGCGAAATATTCCATCCCACCCAAACCATTCTGGGATTCTATGATTCTATGAACTGTAGAGCCTGGGAATCATCTTATGGAATCAAGGATTTCAATTTGATAAAAGAGAATCATGGAATCACAGGATGGTTCATGCTGGAAAGGAATCTATTTGGAAGGCAGGGGCACCTTCCACTATCCCAGGTTGCACCAAGCCCCATCTAACTTGGCTCCAGGGATGAGGCAGCCACAGCTCTTTGGGCACCTTGTGCCAGGCCCTCAGCACCCTCACAGAGAAGGATTTCTTCCCAATATCCCACCTAACCCTCTCCTCTGGCAGTGGGAATTCCTCCTTGTCCTGTCACTCCATGCACAGGGATTAACATTAACAGCTAAAAATGCAACGTTCATTTGAAAAATCTATTGATTTTTAAATATGCCCAACAAGAAGCAAGGGCATCACCACAGAAATGGATGTCAATGCATTCTAAGAAAAAACTTAAAATAATTTTCATGTATTCACTGACACACTAAAAATCCAGGAATTTAGATTTAGTAGAAAGCAACTTGCAGCTGAACAAAGTCACATCCCCATCAGTGACTAAGAGGCTGTTGAGGAACTCAAGGAAGAAAGGAATCAAACCAAACAAAGCAATCTTCGCAAAGAAAAAGGTCTAAATTTTAAACTTACTGTAAAAATTCTCCTCCCACTGCGATCAAAGGCAATGCAATAAACAGAGGAGAGGTGCCCCAAAATCCTTTTGTGCATCTTCATGTGTTGGTAGGTGGATGTTGGGAACAAGTGGCTGAAACGGCCACATCCAGTTAATTGCCTGGCAGAAAGGATATGAACTGGGAGAGAAAAAAGAAGCAAAAAGAAGAGTGAGGCATGAATTTTCTACAGAACTCAGAGTAAATAAATATTAAATCAAATATAGTATTTATTAACAACTTTATTATTAGAATCAGTAATAAATCTGAACCTTCCACCTTATCGGAACATTTTGTTCAGTGTTATAAAAAGAAATCCCACTCCTGATGGAGACTTTCAGTACCCACCACAGCCTGCACCTGCTTCCTTACCAAAAATACAAGCAGAATGAAAAGTTCCCACCACAACTGGGAATTATTTCAATGTTCAATTTATGAACAGGTAACAGATATATTTATCCTACACAGATGTGGAAAATATTTAAGGAAAATCTTTGAAGGAAGAAAGAAATTTTGGAAATTTAGGAAATCACATGCTACTAATATAAATTACAAGAAGAGTATAATAATAGTTTATTTAAAGTGTTTTTTGGTGATAAAAGAAATTATAAAAGGTGATATAGATCTTTCCTTGGAAGGGCTTCCAGATCATAGGTAGGGCCAAAGGACTTCCACATCCACATCCTTGCATTCCCATGGCAGTGGAATTGAAGAACAAGAAATGGAAAACTCCCAGTAGAGGAATGGCAGCTAGGAGAAAGAAGTGCAACCACAACAAACTCCTTCCTGCTTCTACAGCCTAAAACCTTCCACAACCTAAAACCTTCCACAGCCTTGTCCTTCCAAGAACAGCCTAAAACCTAAATGCACCAGCCCACCCTGTAAAAAAGCCTTTGATTGGATGCACAATTTGAGACCATTTTGGGGATATTTAATTTCACCAATTCTCTCCTATTTCTATCTTCCCTATTTATTCTCACTCACAGCACTTGAACTTTGGATTTGAAAGTTTTGAGAGGGATTTTCAGTGGCACTCGAGGATCTAGGGGAGCTGTGCTGGTGGGTTTGTGGAGTCCTTGTGATAGCAGATCCCCTGGAGCAATTCCTTATCTTCCCCTGCACCTTGATGTGGGCTGGGCTTCACAGGAGCCCCACAAAGCTCTTTAGTGCCTTTCACTCCTTTAGCTTAAAAGTCTACTGAAAAACTCTCATTGTCTCATGATATCGCTGCCAATCTACCCAAAAAAAATATAATGGAATACATTAAAAAATTAATCTACAAAGTCAAGAAGTGCCATTTCAAAGAGTTCCTAATCCATAACTCCTTGTGTAAATGGATACCACTGAAGTATTTACACACAAGCAAGGAAAATAAATTGTTTCCAGCTTTAAAGAAAGCATTTTTGTGTCTCAGTTTTAGGCTCTGAAATGTGGATTATTTTTAATCACTCAATGCAATTGAAACATGACACGAGGGAAAAAAAGCTGCATAAAAGATGCTTGCAAAAGCCATCAGGCTCCAGCATAACCTCACCTTCAGTCAATATTTGCTTTGCATGTAAAAACACATATTCAGCAATACTAAAAAGCAAAACACACTAAAGCAAATTAATTTACTACCTACCTACTATTCAGTTGATACCCAGTATTATACAGGGCTGTTAAACTTAACTGTCTCCCTGAGCAAAGTAAAACTGAAATTTTACATTCTTTTTCCTACCTCTAATACAGAGATCCTGCAGTTATAAATGCTCAAGGTACCTCAGCTTTGCCTACATGTTATTTTATTTACTCATTGAATATGACAGCTTAAAAGCTGATTTCTTAAAAAGATTATACCTCCCTTTCCCCTACCCTGTGTGCCAACAGTGACATGGAGTCATTCAGCAACATGGTGATTCTGCTGTGCCTTTCAAGGTTTCAAGCATTTCAATACATATATATGTATATATTTAAATACATAATAACAATGTATCTGCCTGTAAGCAATTTCAAATGGCTCTGAATATTTTTAACCACACAAAGAACTGTGAATCAAAAAGATACACTCTCATGTCAAAATATTCCTGATAATCACAATATTTTCTGTGTCCCCCTGCAATCCTGTTGAACATTTACCACTGCTGTTTGTTGTAAATCCCATGAAGGAAGCACCAAAAGGCACCAAAATCCCACAGTTTTGGCAGCTCACTTTTCCGGTCGATTCCCAGCCTTGCAATCAGTTCAGCTTCAGAGGATATGAAAGTAATTTCTTTTTTTTTTTTTCTGTGTTTATTTCCCTATTTGCACAATGGGGATAAAACTTCTCCATCTCCCATGGATAATTACCAAATAAAAAGCCCTGTTTATGAAATGCTTCAATCAGAGACATCCAGAACTATTGTTGAGCCATGAGGAGCAACAATTTTATCAAGGCAACAGCATCTTTGGACAAAAAAAAAAAAATATCACTGCTTCAAAGGAACAAAGCAAACATTCTCCATTCCTGTATTTTTAGGAAGATTAATACACAATATCTAAACAGGGAATTACCCCCACATGACAAAAATCCCTGTCAAGTTTCCTTTCTACAGCACAATGAAGTTATTGTCCTCCTAAGGCCCCAAAGCACTTAAACCCAACAATTCCCACATGGAGAAATAGCAACTTAGTAACCCTAAAAAATTTTACTAACCTATCTCATTAACTGATGTATTTCATGCCACACTGGATGTAAGAGCTGCCAAGTCCACCCCCTCACTATTCCCTGCCAGGAAAAACTTTCAAGACAGTTATTTCCCATAAAAAGGGAGGAGATCCAGCCTTCTTGATAAGAAAAGTTAATTTTGTCCCAACACTGAAGGGCCATCTCAGCTCCTCCAACTACCAACCTGTAAAACACAGGCATTTTTCTCTTTTATTTCCCACAGTCCTTGGTCCTGGAAGGCCACACCTTTAGGAAAACTCCAGTGTTTAATGCAAATCATCTAACCTGACAACAACAATTCCTAAAACACAATTTACCTCACATTCTACTATACGTAATGGCACAATGTAAAAATCCTTGCAAGAAAGCTCACCTAGGAAGTATAAACCCCAAACCCAGCAACAACAACCCACCAGTGAAAGCTGGATTTTAAAAACAATCATCAGACAACCCAGACTTCAAAGTTAAATCACAACCCCAGAAGGAATTCAAGCATTTCAGCGAGGCAAAGTCACTGAGCAGCACCAGCTGGAATTCCTGCTCTCCCTAAAAACCCTTGTCTCCATCCACTTTTTGCAAGGAAATGGGAAAACTGGTGCATATGTTTGTTTTAAAATCAGTTTCTCACGGGTGATGAGCTCTTGTCAGACTGTTTCACCTTCTGCAAGAAGCAGTGTGACTTTGTAATGAGGACCTAGATTTTGCCCTCATCACAAATCCGAGCAGGGATTGGGTACCACTCACAGGAGTTTCATAGGAATGCCAGGAAAAAAAACAGTTTGCTCCCACATGGAAAACACCTTCTCAGAGAGTGGCTGTGTGGCCACAAAGAGCCTGGACCCAGGAAAAGCAGCAAAAGCACAGCTTGTTCCAGCTCTGGGAGCTGCTGACCACATGGAACTCATTTCCAGCACAAACCATCATCGATTCCTGACCTCATCCCAGTGCTGCTCTTTGGCAGGCCCAAGGTAGCTGCATCACCTTGACTGTGAATTTCCACCCAGCTGAAATGCTTATTCATACTGAGACTGTGCTGAAAACCTTCTGCTTCCAAATTCTGTCTTGTTTTCACTAGCAACAGCTGCCCACAGAATGATTTCCAACCTCAGGTTAGAGCAGCTCTTAAAGAGTGAAAACAACTTCTTTCTAATCTGCTCTGAGCTGCCTGCAAAAAAAAAAAAAAAAAAAAAAAAAAAAAAAAAAAAAAAAAAAAAAAAAAAAAAAAAAAAAAAAAAAAAAAAAAAAAAAAAAAAAAAAAAANAAAAAAAAAAAAAAAAAAAAAAAAAAAAAAAAAAAAAAAAAAAAAAAAAAAAAAAAAAAAAAAAAAAAAAAAAAAAAAAAAAAAAAAAAAAGAAGTAGCATCAAAAGCAGGTTTATCAAAGGGGAATCACTCCCAGTCCTGAGGTACTGCATGACCAGTCTTTCCACTTTCTGTCTGGTAGAGCACAAAGGGAGCCCTGAAAGTTCCACTACAGCAAAAGCTGCCCAGAAAGGCTCGAGCAGTCTCTCCTCCTCCTCCATGTCATCCTGCTGGCAGCAGGAAGCTCTGGCAGTGTTGTCCCTCCCTGTCCCCCTCCAGCAGATCACCACAGCCCCAACACACAGGCACCACATCCCTGGGAAGGACTTCCACAGCTCAGCACTTTCCCAGAGACTCCCCCAGCCAGAAGATGCCCAGCTCTGCACAAACAGGCTGGGAAAAGGCAACAAGGATTTCCTGCTCCAGTTCCACCATGCAGGACCTTTTATTTTGGATTATGGACCACAAAGTCCCATCCCAACCACATTCTCTCCATATTTGTGGTGGAAAGTTTAAATCCTTATCACTGGAAGGGAACTGATGTGAGAATACTCCTGGTTGCTCATCCTAGACCTTATTTACCACTTTGTACAGGTACTTAAACAATCACTTCACTCCTGAATACACATTAATGGGTGTCTTTTACTTCAGTCCAACTCCTTCAGCAAGTAATTCCAGAAAAGTCCATCTGCCTGAGCCAGTACAGTGTGAGAACTCACAGTTATGCCAAAATACCAAAGAGGTCAGGCACACTTCTTCATCTTGTACTTAAGACACACACACTGCAGCACCTCTGGCTGGCACCACTCACCAGGAGAAAAATATCCATTTTGCACAAACAGACACAGCATTTTCTGACCTCCTGTTAAGGATGAATAAGGAATCCCAAAATCAAACTCCTGCCTGAAGTCAAATCCTTTTTTTAATATTTATACACATTTTCCTCTCCTAGTAGTAGTTTACATAGCTACACCAAGGACTGTATTCTTCCAGGAATCAATACTTATATAAATGATTTCCTGCCTATGAAAGACCCTTTTCCATATAATACCTTTGCATTTCTTAAAAAAAGAAAAAACAACGAGGAAAACACCCAAACAAAAAAAAATTATTCTGTTCTTTAATTCACTAGTTACCAAGCAAGCAGCACAGTCCTTTGCCATGAAAGCATGACAAATGCTGAAGTCCAATCTGCCAGGATGCCTCATTAATAATACCACATATTCCAAAAACACCCAGTCTGATGAAAGAATTGATCCAAGAATCCGTGCAGAAATCCAATCAGAGGAGTTGTGCCCAATAAATCCACAATTCAGACTATTAGCAATCCATCAGCACAACTGCTCACAGTAAAGTAACTGCAGAACCAGCCTAAAATAATAAACACACAGATAGGATAGAAACAGAAAGCTGCCAGCACCATCCCTGCTTCTCCAAAGGGAGGGAGGATCCATATGTGAAAGGACTCCCTGACAAACCAGGACTCCCTGACAAACCAGGAAAATGTATCCATTTGCACAGAGATAAAATGCCCTAAAAAGAAACAAACCAGGATTTACTTTTATGCCTGCAAGAATCAATTTTTTTTTTTTGCTATAAAAACAGTTAATGAAAGTTCAAACCATACAAGGCAAACACTTGAGTTTATATAAAACAGAGCAGCTCTGTGATGAGATGTAAGCTGAGAGCCCACGTATATCTGAGTTTTATATAAGTTCTTTATCTAATTGTATGGACAACTGAGGCTGAAGGAACACAAATGTTGCTTTGGTGATTATTTCCTTTTTGGAGAGGGATGTTGCAAGCAGTCTGTTTTCTGTCATAATCCAACTGAAAGGAATTCTTGAGTCAAAGAAGTTCCCTGGGAGCCAGACGCTTTGCTCTGGCTAGGATTCCATGATGACTCCAGGACTCCATGCTCCTGAGACCATGCCCAACCTATCTTACAACCACGTGCACATATTATGGACACATATCACCAAAAAATACTCAAGCCCACTGCCCTTCAAACAAGCATGCAAAACATGGCTACACACACTGTGGAAAATCTATGCCTGAACAACACAAAAATTATCCTATTGTCAGGGAGAGACCTATTTTAGATTAATTCATTATGAAATGCCAGAGAAAACATTAATGCAAACCCAGAGTAGTGTCTTAGTGAGAGGAACTTTCTGTGGGACAGGAATTAATACAGAGGGGAGAAAAGAACCTTTTATGGACTTCCAGACTCACCCACGTTTGGTGGTTTCCCGTAGTTCACCGGGAGTTCGGGGGGTCGGCCCCTGTGCAGGGCTGCAAATGCAGATCCTTTCCATAGTGTGTGTCTGAAGTCTGCACCAGCAGGAATGACAAGAAATCATCAATACATTAAATAATCAAGCACCATTCCCCAACAGCCCAGAATAAGATCTGTTTGATTAAACAGTTTGTCAGATTCCTCATTTAAAGAATGTGACTCTGATTTGCAGTTCCTCAGCAGTGTCACTGTAAATGGTTTCAACTTATTTTTGCTTAATTTGGGTGATTATTGACTTTAAATCCATGAAGAGAAAAATTTAAATGAATTTAAAAAACTTAAAATGAATTTCAAAAGTGGGTGCGCTTTATATTGAGGCCCAACTGAACTGTGCCATATTTTCCTTCTGCAATGGCAACACTTAAAGCACCTCTGCTTAGGAACTGCACATTTGCGATTTCATGTTTTGCTGCCTAAAAGTGAGAGAAGTGAGGATTTTTTCCAATAAATCTGTTTTCCTGCAATATGTGGCAATGTGCCCTCCTTTCAGATTGTTTTCTGCACCCCACCCCCCCCAAAAAAAAAATCATTGTTTTAAAGTGAAGAGTGTTCTCTTTAAAGACTCTCCAGCCCGCTGCTGCCAACTGGCCTCAGAGAGGCTCCTCTCTAGAACAATAGTGATTTTTCTGAGACTGTTCAAAGTGCCTCAGAAATTAGACCTGGATTTCTTCCATTTCTGGCCATCTGGAGGGAGAGAAATGAGCTTCCACGGTGAGTAAGTGCTGAAACAGAAGGACACTGCCGCAGGTTGGTGGATCTGTGTAGCACCATGTAGATCTCTGAACATGAAGTGCACAAGCTGAGGTGACTCAGAGACTCCTGAGAGCACCTTCTGATTAAACCCCAAACTGCTGCACAGAGTATTAAATGATACTCATTAAAAACAGCACTCAGACTTCCTAAAATAGATCCATCCACCTAAACCCTTCTGTTCCCCTGCAGAAAAATGTTTATTTTCTCTTTACATTTTGCTGCTGTTTCCTTCTAAGCTGCAAACTGAGTGTGAAACTAAGGAATGTTTCTCTGCAAACCTGAATTTCTGCACCTAATTACAGCAAAGCACAGGCAAAACAAGACTCAGTCCCAAAACTCTGTAGGGAACGTGTTTGGGAACAGCTCATCCCTCCAGGAGATATCCAGTGGATCAGCAGATGCTCGGCAGCATCACAATATGACTTCACAGGATGCAGGGAATTAAGTGCTCAACTGCCACCAAAACAGGAAGGTCCTGCTCTGCCATCCCTCCTCCTCTCCCAGGATGATGCTCCTCCTCCTGTGTCACCTCCAGCCCTGTGATCCTTTTCCACCAGCTCATTTAATTCACTACAACAAATTTTGCAACATCTCAGCTCTCTGAATCAGCACATCAGAGGATCAAGGAAGTTCTGGCTCCTGCAGGGAGGCAGTGGCAGGGGCACGGAGTGAGGAGGGAAGGAGGAATCACTTCAATAGCAGATGGCTTTCAGATCTCTTTAGTTCTAACACAAAACTGCACTCAGGATCATTCTCTCAAGCAGAGTGAGTTTTTCAAAGGGAAAAGGACTGGTGCTCTCTTCATGAAAGGAATGGGGGCTTTTAAATTAACTTGAAGCAAGGAGAAGCAGGAATGGTCACTAACGAATCAGCCTGGCCGTCTCCTACTCCCTAAAAGCTGCCCCAAAAGCCACCACCCTGACCTGTGTCTACACAGCCAGGGAGCCAAAGAATGGAAAAAAACAGGCTGAAAAGTAGCCCAGCTATGTGTTTTTTGACACAGATGTGTGCAAATGTATATGGAAAAAATGGCATTTTTCAGATGCATCAAACCCCTAATCCCATTCACATCCTTTAAACAAACACCAACACATTGGGGAAGGAGGCAGAGGAAGTAACAAGATCAGGCAACTGTAGGCAAGAATTGCTTAAAATGGCATTTTCAACCCAAGAAAATACATCCAACAGGGCCAGCAACAACTGCATTTTAGAAAGAAAAAAGCTGGCAAGCACAGGAGACAAAGCAGGGCTAATGCAAACACACAGATAACCCAACAGGAATGGCAACAAAAGGGGGTTAATGATTAAAACAGAATTCAAGCCCATATAAATTGAGAATCTTACCTTTTGCTGCCCTCAGGAGAGACTGACGCCCGACACCCAGCAAAGTCTGCACCCCCAGGACACTCTGGGGGATTTCCTTGTCCAAGAGGGGTCCAAGTCTCTCACAGATCCTAAGAAGATAATCTGGAGGGATGTGTGCATTGACAGCCACCTAAACGCACAAACAACACAGACATTTGAAAACTGGTTTCTTTTTCCTTCTACTGGTAGCACTTTGCTTCATGTTTAAGTGTGAAGTTGCTGCAACCAAGCATAAAGCCCCTGAAAACCCCCTCAACATTAACTATACTGCATTTTAAAGTGGAGTGTTGCAAAAGCCACACCAGAAATTTCAGGTTGTAACAGCTTAATTGTAAATTTAGGATATCCCTTCATAAGAAACAAAACTCCCCAGCGCAGTGCTCTGCTCAAACAACTTTTTAAAGCCTTTTTTACCTTTCACTTAATTCTCTTCCCATGTTTTGTTTAACTGAAACATCCTTGCATTGACATCACTGTATGAAGCATATGTGCAGAAGAATAAAAACCTTAAAAATTACGTAAAATCCCTAAATATTACCCTAAAATCAATACTCAGTCTCCATTCCCAGCTCTGGGAGTAGGTACCTTTAAGACCCACATGTGTAGGCTCCAATTTTGTCATGTTGGGAGAACATCCTTTATTTTTCCCTTTGGACAGAGAATGAATGACAACAGTTTTTCTAACAGTCTGTTCAAACAACAAATAAATTGTGCCTCATTATCCCAAATGTCCTGCACTGCCTGACTCCTATATTTACAAACTGGCAGGAAAAGCTGCCCATCAGAGCTCCTTTGACACAGGACACACAGCTCCATCCACCTCTTTTCATGGATCAACACCCTCCTGCCTGCCCAGGTTCCAGGGATGTGCCCAGCTCCCACCCCAGCACACAGGAGGGAGGGAGTGCCAGGCACCAGGAAGGAGGAGAAGGTCTGTAATTCCCTCAGCCCTGCTGCCAAAACATTGCACAGTCAACTGTGTCATCAAACAGATTATTAGCACACGTCATTGGGAATTTTTTTAATCTAATTGGGCAACAGCAGTGGAGCTACAGGACCCAGCAGAGCCAGGCAGGGCTGGAGAACGTCACCACCTTCACCATGAGCTGGATCAACACCATCCCATAATTCACATTTTAACAAAAAAGAAATGGAAAATGTATCTGATTAAATGTACAAATTACCAGTTAATTAAATATGACTAAAAACTCTTCCAGTGCGAATAGAACTCTGGGAGAAGAGACAGGTCCCTCACTTTACTCATTCCTCAGTCACTGCTGGTTAGAGAATCATCTCATCAATCATGATGATTCTAAAGATCCAAAATCATCATTTTTTCAGTGCAGGAATGAGAAGCCTGATGAGTGCATTACCATGTTCTCATTCCAAGAATTTTCATCCTGTGAGTGAGCATCAAGAAATGATCCTGTGAATGCTCTCCTGTTCTGACAGGATTCCCCAGTCATTTTAGCTTTTTTCCCTAAAATCAGAGTTCTGAAATTATATTGGCACATTTCCAGTGGTAAAACCAGCGAAGTTCAGTGTATGAGCATGAATTGTCTCTCACTGTAAATAATGGCATAAAACAGAAGTTGAAATGAGAGAAATGGGTTATCCAAACTTTGGTATTTGCCTCTTATTCTGACTCATTCCTGAAACACTGTAAATGTGTTTATGCTACAAAATATTTTATGATGCTGCAGTATCCTCCCTTCAGCATGTTAGATTTCTGAAAGGGAAGTTCTAGAGAGAGAATCTGCAGTTAAGTAAAATCTGAATATGAAGTTCTTACTTCCGTCTCTGATAAGCACCAACAAGCCCCTCAGTCACCAACTGCCAACACACAGTGATGTATCAACCTCAAGATTAAAAGATCAAAAAGACCAACCTAGAAGCTCTGAAATTTTGCTTCCAGAGCACCAAAATAACCCAAACCATACCATTCTCACTGGTAATGTAAAAAATCCAAACCATTTTCCCAGTGCAGCACAGCAAACACTCCCCTTTTCACACTGGAGCTGGTTTGGGAGTTTCACCATATTCTGTGCCTAGGAAGGTGCTGAATTAAGCCTGGCAGCAAATATCCCACTGCAGAGACAGAGCCCAAGGTGTTCCACAAGCAGTCCTGACTACCTCCAAAATGGAAAAGGACTTGGTGGCCTAAAGATGAAGGCACAGTTTTATAGGGAACAGCAAAGAGCAAACACTGACACACGTGGGGCCCGACAGCATTCCCTGACCACACTCCATTCCCTGCACATTCCCTTGTTTCTACAACCCACAACAGCCCCAAATAAGCAGCCCTCCTTAATCTGAATATTAGCACTGCTGTTACTAACAAGCAGCTCCATAGGCAGGCAGAAAGAGCAGCAAATGCTCCTGGTGATTTTTTTTCCATAATAACTTCCAGAAAAAAAATGCTTAAATCACAGCCCAGAGCTAAACGAGCAATTCTATTTTCAGTTTCCCAGAAGAACTTGAATCAAAAATCCTTCTTTTCACCTCTGAGAGAGTTGTAAATGGATTTTAAGTATTTTTCTAGAACATGAAGCTGCAAACATCCAGCTGAAAAAAACAACATTTTCCAGATCAGATTTTCCTTAAAAGAAGGATGGAAAAAGGCAAAGGTACAGCTACACCTCTTAGTGTGTGCTCATCCAAATCCCACGTGGCAAAATGAAACAGCAGCAAGGATAATATCAGCTCCTCAAATATATTAGAGAATATTTTGAAATATATTTAGAAAATAATCAGAAAACTGGAAAAAATTAGAGATGAGTAATACAGGCCCAAAACCATGCATGTTAAAATAATGCAAAGCTAAAAAATGTGCTAAGTGAGAACAAATGTTGCATCTTGGGATAAATCATAAAGAAAATATGTTTTGTTGCCTTGGGATGTGAAAAATCCTATAAGAGTTAAAATATGAGAGCACAAGAATGCAATAGAACCAGATGATTTCTCTGACACAGTAACCACACAGGTACAATGAATCTAAAAAGTAAAAGATTAGGTGAAGCCAATCTATTCTTTTTAAAAATCTTTCCCAGTCCTGACTGCTTGAGCCAGGCTGAGATAAGCTGCTCCAGTGATAAGCACAAGGAAAGAACTATTAGTGAAGTCACATCAGGGCTGGGAGAAATTCAACCCCTAAACCTGCTCATGGTCCTGTGGTTGGAAGCATCACCTCAGAGACCTCGAGCAGAGAGTCCTCCCTGGAGCTGGGACAAGCAGCTTCTGGATCCCTGAAACAAAATCCCCTGGTGTGACTCTGATCCCCGTTTGGACAGCGCCCTCAGGCATGGGGTGGGATTCTTGGGGTGTTTGGGCAGGGACAGGAGATGGATTTGATGAGCCTTGTGGGTCCCTTCCAGGTCAGGAGTCTGTGATTCTACAGCAGCTGACAACTCCTGCTCTAAGGAAGGTTTCAATCAACAGGGAACAAACAACCCAAAATACAGTCTTTGTGATTACTACTTAAAGTAAGATGTCTGTTGTGCCAGAGGTGGGAAGAAGGCAGCTCTGGGAACCATCTCTTTCGGGAAGCCCAGTGGAACATCTCTTCAAAGCACAGATTTGAGGCAGGAGCTGCAGGCTGGAATGAGGCAGCGACGCGGCGCTTCGGAGGCTGCTCTGTCCCCATTCCTGCTGGGCAGGCCCAGCTGGGCCTCAGCAGTGCATTTCTCTCCTCCAGGTAGTCATCCAACACTTCTCTCATTTGCCAAAATAACCATCAATTAAGAATCAATTGACAACTGTATCAAAAAGCAGTGGAGGAGGCCAAGAGGCCAAGGCAGCTGAGCAAGCAGGAAATTACTCCTGACCTCAAACAGGGAATCTCAGCAAAAAGAAGCTCAGACACTGGACCTGCACAAGATACTAACAATATGCAAATAGATTGGAATTAAAAAATCCTTTACCCACTGGGGTCCCTGGAGAGAACAGGTTGGAATGACCATGCTACCAGATGACATTTTCCTGAAGTGACAAAACCGTAACATCTCTGCTCTGCTAATGCTGGGATTGGCAGGATCTATAAATACCAGCACCTAGGACTCAGGGCTAGTTTTAAATCAATGCAGATGGGCAAGGCAGGAACTCGGAGCCAAATCCCATAAGCTGTTCCATACCAGCACAGCCGCTCATGGATGCAAATTCCCCACTGTCCAACAACAGCTGATTTTCTGTTTTGCCTGGAATTACATGTTTTTCAGCGCAAAGACCAAACCAAGCTGAGCCAGAACACTCAGCCTATCAGAAAGTTCTTAAAACCAGAGCAGAGCCAGTCACCTTTATCAGGAATAAACAAAGATAATGTGGAACAGCAGGTCACTGGAGACTGTGCTGATAATCGGAGTCGTTCAGCTCAACTCATCTGTACAGCAGCTGACTCCACACCGAGCTGCTGTGGTTCATTTAAAACCAGAGCACTAATTGCCTGCAAGTTGGACACACTTCAGACCTTCAAAAGGCTGGGCTGGATGGGGCTTGGAGCAACCTGGTCTAGTGGAAAGCATCCCTGCCCATGGCAGGGGGTGGAATGGGATGGGCTTGAAGGTCCCTCTCAACCCAAGCCAGTCTGGGATTCTGTGATTCACGGACCCTCCCCTTTACAAACACATCTCATGCCTCAAGACCACCAGCAGTCTGTGAGAAAGTAAAGCCACTGTGGAGTACACGTGGAGAATTCAGCCTGGAGAATAGGGAACTGAGGGGAATCGCTGGGGGCTGCAGCTTCTCCTGAGGGACAGCTCCGATTTCTCTCCCTGAGAGAGGGAACAGGGCCCAGGAATGGCTGGAAGCATGTCAAGGACATTTAGGTGGAGATCAGGGAAAGGCTCTTCCCCCACTGAACAGGCTCCCTAGGGAATGGACACATCCCCAAGGCTGCCAGAGCTCCAGGAGGGTTTGGACAACGCTCCTAAGGATGCACAGGGTGGAATTGCTGTGGAGTCTGTGCAGGGCGAGGAGCTGGACTGATGGTCCTGTGTGTCCCTTCCAGATCAGGATACTCTGTGACTCTGTGATTACCTACCACATGCTGCAGGCAAAAAGTGCTCCAACATGAAAATAAACAGGAAAAACAAAGGGAATACAAATGCACATAAACTTGCGTTCTGTGTGGTTTTGCCCCATAGGTACAATTCTTATTAGTTTGTCTTAAATCACTC